AGGGAAGGCAGGGGCAGATCATGGGCATTCCCCGCCACCCAAGGAGGCTTCCATAAATGCAGAGCCGGCACATAACGCTCTGGTTCTGGGCTCACCCAAGGAAATATCACGTCCTGCACATAACTGCTTAACCTCACAACTGTATTAGGCTTCCCGCTTCACACGGGCTGCGCTCTCCGGAGATCAGCGGGAAGCAGTCCGTGGGTTCTGGACTTTTGTGACCACACGAATAGGTACTATCTTTTTCGTCGCACGATTATCATCTTTAGCGTGCTGTTAGCACGACCGAATGGAGAATCATGCGTCAGGCATGTCTTTATCTGTTTGGTCCCAACACTCGAGCGAGTGGGGTCTCGGGATGTGGACTTTTTCCAGTCAATACGATTGATGATGGTCGGATTTTAAGCTTGCTCGTGTGCCGTAGGATCTATTTTTATCGGACATTTGGGCTTAACCGGCCGATGGATGTTTGCTGTCTTGGTGTACCTCAGCGCGGTGGCGATGACACTGAGGGTTGACAGAGGATGTACATGGGTAGAATCTTGCTGCAAGACACCACCCCCAGGAGATGTTACTCGTCTGTGCTGCGGGTAAATCTCTAGATCAAGGGTTGAGTCTCAGCAAAACAATGTTCTCTTCACCCCACAAACTTTTAACCGAGGGTTGTCATTTTAGTTGTACGTTTGGCAAGCAAACTTTACTCATGTTCCTAATGAGTTTTGATAAGCTTTTCACCCATGGGTTTGAGGGGGGGGGGGGGGGGCTGATGAGAGCCACAAGGACACTACACCTCTAGGGGCAGCCAACTCCGAAATCCCCTGACAGCTCTGTTAATGCTTATTTGAGTCATTATCCGTGGTACACGACAAGGAGGTGCTGCAGGAATCTTGCGTGAGGTTCCGTAAAACCAGAACAGTGCAGGACTGGCGCCCGAATGACGTACGGAGTAACTCCTTATACACATCACGTTGGGCTTAACTTTACCTCACGCCTGTGACAGAAATCACTGCGCCACATTCCAGTGCTCATTGGCCATCATGACGGTTGTCATGCTGTGAAGGTCTAAAGTGTCTTCAGTCTTGTCATCCATTATTTTGTGGCTGTCTTTTTGCTCTTATAGCTGGTCTTCTGAGCTGTAGTGCTTGTGATAATATTTGATGTTGTTGCATTTTAACAAGATGGCTAAAATACGTGATCTGCTCTTCCTTGTACAAGGTATTTTTTCCACAATTAGTCTGATAGTATCATTATTCACTCGTTCTTTTTACTAATATTGAATAAAGTACACAACTGCTGTTAACATAGACCTATTTCTATACTTCTGACTATATCATTATCTGAGTTCTGTATTTCTACTTGTAAAAGTTTGATATATTTTCTCACTATATTATTAAAGGTGAACACATTTTGTCAAGTCATGAAAAGATGTGGAGGGACATGTTTGCCTATCCAAGTTGACAAGCACTTGATTATGATGATGATGACAACATCTTAATTGTGCATTTTCTTATACAATAATAATTTTAAAAAAAAATAGTATCCACTATATATACATAATATGAGGTGGAGGTTACAACTTAACCAGTCTGTACCTTACAGAGGAAAGATGACAGTATTTATAGCTGAAAATTCAACAGATCTGCAGCAATTTCAGCTGTTGGACATTGCAAAAATTAGACAGTGGCAAAACAGAAGAATTTTTTCTTGGATATCAAGGCAGCAGACACAGTAGTTATGTCAGTGAAAAGAACATCAACAACAAGTGATATTGCAATAGATTATAGAAGGAAGCATACTTTAGGTGATGTGAGGCAGCCAGAATAAAATTGTATACTTTTTAATTTCTACATTCTGGTACGGCATAGGGTTTTTATAATGAAGACCAGGAATCATTTAAAATACTGTCAAGTTGATTGTGCACTAAATAGTTGCTATATTGAATGTTGAATTAAAAAATCAACATCACAGCACTCAAGATACAACCGTAAGCGCTCCATTCCCATCTTCAGCATCAAGCAAAGAGTTCCAATTCCAATGTTATCAGTAACTGTCTGATTATATATTTGTCTCGCCCTTCCCACTTTTTGTTGAGTGTCAGCCAGATCCTCTGGTAACTTCCCGCAGCACCATTCTCCTCAGCCCGTAATGGACTACTTGTGCCTCAGCACTGTTCACTCGCTCCCAAAGGGCCCTCACAGCATCTAGCTTGTAATACTTCACTTCACCACTAAGTGGTGCAGAACAGGCCAGTCTATCTGCCTGCTCATTTCCCAACATGCTGGCATTAACTCGAGAAAATATCCAAAGGACACTAACTACCTGGGACCTCTGAAGTAATGCTTATCATTCTGCATGTAGCATGCCTGTCTCCACCTTTCTCAGCATCCTCTATGAGTCAGTTCAGTCTCACAGCATGTGTGTACAGCTGATTCTCAAGCCAGCAGAAGGCAGCAGTGACTGCCTCCATCTCGATTCTCAAACTTGACATTGTGGTATCATATGCTAGACTTTGTTGCACTAAGCGACATCCATTCGCCTTTGCTATGAATCCCCGTGCAATTTGTCTGCCCCTCAATACAGAGCCATCTGTATAGACAATCACAACACCTTTGCACGAATTGTCATGAATCATTTGTTGAACCTCTAATTACACATAGCTTATGTTAATAAGGTCTTGCTTACACCTATATGTGGAAGTTTCCAGGAGTTTGTAAGATTCATTGAAACAGTTGTCAATGAAAAATGTGACATTGCACAATCTCAAAACCTGCTGAACAATGCAAGGGACATAATAACGCTTACCACGGTATATAATACATATAAAGTTATCTCCTTGTGCAAAAACCACTGCCAGGTCACAAAAATCACTAATGTGGTAAACATTTTAAAAAAAATTAATAATTTCACAACTAAGGTTAGCTCAGTTAAATATTAATATTGCATTAAAATAGCAGTTTTTAGACAAAATCAAGTATTGAATCTGACAGAAGATATACTAAGGTGTGTAAAAATGAACTTTTCAAAAAATTGTCAACCTGACCTAAATTCACTGTTTTCCACTGCCGCACATGACCTTAACCAAAACAGCATGATTGAAGATGTGAGAGATTAAAGGCAGGAAAGGCTAAATGTTAAAAGTTTCCCATTCTGTTCTCCATTCTTATGATTGCTTTTTGCTGCCAACGTGTTTTTTTTAATTCTTAAATCTTGACCATCATTGTTTAAATTCTCCAAGATTCATGTTAAACACTTTTTTCAAACTTCTGTTCGTGACATTTTTTCCCCCTAATTAATTGACTGGCTAAATTGAACCAGAATCCGTTTCACTGGAGGCTGGTTATCGTACAGTTTTTTTATATGTGCATACTAAGTAATATCTGTTGCATAGGCCCAGCTCTTTTCCTAATTTACACTTGCTGTACATGTCTGAGTAATCTAAACTTGCTCTCCAGATCAGATTTCTTAATTTAGCTGTCATAATTTTGTGTTTATCTTTTATAACCTTGATGCTGCCAATCCATTGTTTCTGTATTTTTGGGGGCTCTAGTTTAAAGGTGGGGGGCTCTAGTTTAAAGGTGGGGGGCTCTAGTTTAAAGGTGGGAGGCTCTAGTTTAAAGGTGGGGGGCTCTAGTTTAAAGGTAGTTTTCGGCTGAAGGTCAGTTTATACAAAAATCTGCTTGACTTGAGCTTGAACTCAAGCCCTTCATGCAAACACTTAGCAACCACACTACCACAGCTCCCACATACATTTAAACTGCTACCTCTGAATTGAAAATTTTAAGAGCTTTGAATCCAAACACAATTTTCAAGTAAATTTTACCTCTGAACTTGAACGCTGCCTTAGAAATCAAGACTCCTGTACATGTCAGTCATGCAATGTGTTGTGTCTCACCTCTCCACCTCATACATTTTTCACAGGTGGCATGCTGTTAGCACCATAGTTAACAGGTGTGGTAACTTTTTCTGTTATAACATCATTAAAGAAAATTCACAGTGGTCGCCAACATAAGAGCACTGTGGAACATTGGCTCTCAAAAAAAAACTAGTGACCCTAAATCCTCTATTAATGATGAAACTCTACAATATGAAACACCCAAAAGGATTGCTGATGTTGCCTGGAATGTAGCTTCTTCTTCTTCTTATCCTCCACCATTTACCTCAGCCAGGTGATGGGGGGAGATGTAAAGTTCATTTGTGCGCTTTTTTCAATGCATTGTACAAGTTGGTTTTCATTTCTGTTAGATTGCTCTTGATGATGTTGCACCATGTCTTGCATGGTCTTCCTCTTGCTCAGTGTTCAGTACATTTCTTCAGCGTGGCTTTCTGTAGCAGTTAATACCAGGGCATTCTTGTCAGTTGGTCAAACCATCTTATTCTTTAATGTAATGTATGACTGATTTCAGTCCTAGTCTTCTTCTAATTTCTTTGATCTCGTTTTTATCTCTTCTTGTCACACCAGCAGCTCTTCTAAAACATCTCATCTCTGTTGTTACGATCTTTCACTCGTTAGTTGTAGTAAGGGTCCATGTTTGGCACTGGTAGCACAGTGTCAGCTGACTCAGCCAAATTTGGCACTGGTAGCACAATGTTGGCCAAAAAACAGTTCTTATGAGATTTGCTTTGGTTGACATAGATGTAACGTACCTCCCTAATTTCCACTTCTTCTTCTCCATGTGATGTGTTACCATTTCTAACCAGGTACAGTAAAAACAATGTTTTATATTTATTGAAGTTTTTTTTATATATGACCATTATTTGTTATGTATTTAGAGTGTACTGTATTTAGGATAATACATTTTAAAATTGAGTTTGTTGGACACTGGAACAGATTAATTTGATTTCCATTATTTTCAATGGAAAATATTGCCTTGAAACTTAAACAACTTAGGCTTGTTGCCTGTGCATATTTCTTTTTACCAAGTTGCTGTTTTTGTTGTTGTTTATTATTGATAATGTGTAAGACGATTACACCTGATGTGTAAAACCTGACTGATTTTCAGAGGACCTAGAGGAGGACTTCTGGGATATTGATGATAGTATTGATGAAGATGATGATGATGATGGTAGCTATAAATGGGAGAGAGATCGCTTTGATACAGCAGGTCTATGTTTACAGATGTTTTATGCTTGTATCAATATTTATAACTAACAAATATATTGTTACAATAATTGTCAATGGTGAATTAATGTTAATGAACAAGAAATATATTTCATTTAAACTAAAATATTTTCTAAGTTAGGAGAGTTCATCTTTTAAGTTTATGAAAACTTAATTTTTCAGTTTATGTTTCATTATGTTTTATAAAACTGAGTAAAAATAATATTACATTAATTGTAATATTATTTTTGTAAATGATAGTTTATAAGCAATATAAAGTGCCAGTGGTAAGGATTATTATATTTGTATTTAGAGTAACTCACATCAACTTACATTATCTGCCCCATTGAACAATGATGCATGTGCACATCTATTAAACCTGAACACTGTCTACTGTTGTGTGAGCATGGAGCTTGGCAGCATGCTGTTGATGATGTTTATGTAATTAATGATGATACATTTTGTTATTTTAAAACTTTAACTGTGAATACTTTAGTGTTAACTAAAATAACAAGCCATGTATTATGTGTGTGCCAGCTTTTTTTCATAATTGTTTAAAGAAAAGTTTAAATTATAAATAGATTAAAGGTAGTGATGAGTGCAGAAGAAGAAGAAGAGTAGTAAAAAATAAAAACTATATGTTAATATAACAGTCAAAGAAATGAACTCTTGAGGACTTTTCGCCAGTAAACTGGCTTGTGATTTATCCCTATCAGACTAGTCGCCAGTATACTGGCATATCATAAACACTCTAATTTTGTTCCGTTTATGGGCAAAACAGACTTTTATGAACACGTTTTTGAAAGATTAGGATTACCAACAGGAATCCTTTTGTTTGTGATGTCCTGCATGGTTTTTGCGCCACATTCTGATTTTAAATAATTATTTAGATGTGATACAATTTATTGCATGATTTTTCTATACTAAATGATAAGGGAAAAGGTCTAGAACTGTTCATACTGCTCTGTCATTGATGAAACTCTGCGAGATGACGACAATAGTCTTGATATTATGATTGATCTCCAAGTGACAAATCTATTGGTCATATTTTAGTTTAGGATATGAAAAATTGAACAAAATATTTCAATCGGATCATTTGTCTTGATCAGCTATTTTTCCAATTTTTGGTTGTTGTGAAATTTGACATCATACAAAAATGATCATAACATCCAAAGTATTTAAATTAACTATTTAAAATAAAGACGAGCTGATACATAATTGAACAGAGAAGTAAGGTTAGCACAGAATATTTTGTGTAAATAATCTTCAAATATGTCTAACATCCTTGAATGTTGTGTGATTTTAATAATATTTTGTTGTAATACTGACACTTAAATAGTTTTGATTTATTCTGCACTCATTTACCTTTCCGTTGATATACTATATTTGTCATGTTGCAGTAAAACAATTCCACTCAAAATTAATGCTTTCCAAACCTCAGAAAAAAAAAATGTGTTCCTGAAAGAGTTAATGAAAGTTAACCATCACAGAGTTGCTTAATATAGGGATTCTCTGTATATAATTGGTAATTGTTTTTATTTTTGCACACTTGTTTTGCAATATTTATATTTAAAAATAATATTTCTTCCTCTTTGCCTCATATCTTTTCTTTTCCTGTGTAGGCTCAGTCATTGTAGGTTTCTCAAGGCATGCTTTTATCCAAGAATGCATCCTCATTTTAACAGTGAAAAAAATATTTACATTAACAAAAATGAAGGATGTAAAACATAGAAAAGGTGTTAATGTATTGATCTAGCAAATAATTGTGTACTGAGAAGACCTGTGATTTCTCATGTCAAAACATTAAAGTGAAGATCATGAGACATGAAAGTAATTTGTGGAGCTATTGAGGAGAAGGCCACAGGACTATGAGTCTGTTCTGAGTACTGTGATGGTAGTCCTTGCTTATCTTTAATATATGATCAGAAGAACAGGTAGGTGACTGCTGATTGCATAATGTCACACATTCTAGAGAACATGGGTTTTGATCTTTGAAACAGTCATTTATTTGTATCTGCTTGTTGAATAATTGGGCAACAGGCCTTAATTCATCAGCCTGGAAGAATTCTTGATGCAGACACTGATGCAGTGAACAGCTTGTTGAGTTTATAGATCAAATAAGAGTCAGTAGTGAATATGTGTTTGTGAAGTAAATAACCTTGTGAGATATTTACTAGAGACATAAATAATTTGTGATTTGAAATATTCAACCTCATTATTTAAAAAAAAATATTAAACAATGTATGGTTTATTTTGTAAGGTTTTTTCACTCCACTGATTGATGCATTCAGAGGTGCGTAGACTTTGTTTTTGCTTTAATATTGTTTCCTTTTGAAAATCAGAGCCTTTCTGACCACAAGCTTTATACAGTTTGCATCTTACTTATGCTGTTTGCGAGAATACTTTCATCTGTTTTCCTTTTTATCATCTTTAAATGTTAAAGTATAAAGCATCTAGGAAATCAAAACAATAGAAATGAAATGTCTAAAACAAATCCTAAATGCAACAAGAAGACACAGGATCAGAATCACATATCAGGAAATAGGTTGAAGCGTAATCAGTGCCAAACTACATCAAGAGGCAGCAGATCAGATGGTTTGGTCATGTGAGACCTACGGGATAGTGCACCACAGAGAGCCCCTTCACTTAGACATCATAAAGTTCGATATCACAAACAGTGGATAGATAGAATATTCGAGGCCATAAATACCATTATTTACATCGTACATACTAAGACTCACACCCCTCTTCAAAATCGGATGCTGATGACAGAAAAGGATAGGACTAGAAAGAAAAAATAAATAATGGAAGCAGCAAAAACAGCTAAGTATATGTTTATTAATTCCTCTTTAAAAATGGTATTCAGTTCAGTCTTGTATCTGTCCCTTTGTATTAACCCACCAAATTTGAACATTCATAATTGTTTGCAGTTGTAGAGTATACACTGTGGGGATGAACTGGTTTCTGTATCTGAAACACTGCCATTGTGTTAGTTAGGGACTGCAGAGTGTGGTGAACAGAACGGATTGAGACAGAAATAAATACGGCAGCTACTAGGTGGATCATACAGTTTTATTGTTTACACTGACAGATTAGTGCCAAGCCAAAAACGCTTGCAGTGAGGACTTATGGCCAGTTTGCAGAGTATATTTGTATAGCAGAGTAGAGAATATGCCAGTGCTCTCTGCTAGCACCATGGATCATTGATGGGACTGAACCATCTCAGGACCACAGAACAGGAGACATAAACACTCAACACAAAGGACCCTCACCCGGGCGGAAATTAAAGACATGACAACTAGAACAAAGGAGGCTTATCTAACAAGAGGAGAGGCTTATCCAACAAGAGGAGCGGCTTATCCAACAAGAGGAGAGGCTTATCCAACAAAAGGAGAGGCTTATCCAACAAGAGGAGAGGCTTATCCAACAAGAGGAGCAGGCAGAATCAGACTAACAAGGAACCCAGACAGGTAGGGATGGGCAATACACTTGAATAGAGAAACTAAGCCATCAGTTAACTTGGTGCAAATAAACCAGACCACAGATATAACTGACCACTGCTCACAGAGAAAGCTGTATGCAGCAGGTTGGACCTGGTCAACATTTTTCCCCATACAACGGGAACTAGAGAGAATATGCCACTTAATCACAATATCCATCATAAGTATTGGGGGTAGCACCTAATTATGCCGAACTTGCTTCTATATCTGACTCTTGTTCCATAATATAGATAAAAAAAATATAGAGGCCTGGGTGCTTTCTTTAGTGCAGCAAATCTATGGAAATGTGTTGTTTGTATGTCCTGGATATGCAGCTGCCCATAGAAATGAGAGAGTGGATTGATTGGCTTTTTTCTTGTATTTGTTTTGGCGTCCTATTGTGGGGAACAAGAATAGACCCACTGCCCCCCAACAAGCATGTTGTAAGAGTCGACTAATTAGGGGTGTTTCCTCTGAAGTCAGAGAGTGTCTGTCTAAGAGGCGAGGAACCAACAGTCTGCATACAACTAAACCAAATCTGTAAATTTGGAATGCACGCAGAATCCGGTTCTGTAACAAGACCAAGGTTTAGAAGTTGACCAAAAACCAGAACTTTCCACCAGAGTTTACAACTGGCAAACACGAAAAAAAGATAAGCTTCTAGCATGCCTATATTGGTCAGGTTTAAAATGTAGGGAGAGGTTTCTTTGTAATGAACCAGCATAGAATGAGGCCACAGACTTTGATTGCAGGGATGTATTACATATGTATCAAATTAAGAAATGATGAAACACTTTATCTGTGGAGGAAGGTGGAGAAGTAATGAGCATTTCCTAAGTCCATTGATGTTTCTTCTGGAAACTACTAATCTGAATTGTTAGTGTGCTAGTAACTGTGATTTGGCAGATTCAGTTACTCTTTCAGATGCAGGCTATCAGGGCAATAAGAGAGGAGAGATTTCATTGGTGACACTATAATAGAGAGTAAATTTGTTTTCTTTTGGTGGCTCTGTCTGTCCCTTTTGTCCTTTGTAGATTTTCTATTATCACTCTAGCAAGATAAATAAAGTAGTACCAAACACTAGCCATTTTAAAGGCAGTGTTGAAAGCACTGCTGCAACAAGCCAACAATGTCAACAAAACCCATTGTCAGATTTTTTGAGAAACAAAGAATCACATGGCTGGCCATCTAATGAGAATGAAACCAACAATGGCAGCAGCATGAGCGCACAACCTGAAAATAGAAACATCAAGAGGCAGGGGAAGACTGAGAAGAAAATGGATTGAAGGAGTCACTGACACCTTGAAACTGCATAACATCACGACATATCAAGCTACCGAGTGTGCCCTGGCTCGACTGCAGATCATCTGAAGCTGCGGCGCCTAGCGGCTTAAGCAGGCATTGACAAAAGAAGAAAGAAATAAGAAGTTGAGAGTATTGCTGCACATTTTCAGTTGCAGTATATAACTGTCTATCAAATGTTGTGATCTTATTTATTTTTAATATCTGTCATTTTATCTCTTTTGTTCCATGTACTAGTTCTGGCCAAAAACAAACCATCTTGATTTAGTAAAGTCTTCTGGCACAAAGCTTAAATAGATGTATTTCAGTAATGGTGATTCTACTGAGTGAAAATAATCTTATCCACTTGACTGGCCTCATTGTATACAACTGACTTATCTATGGAATGCTGGATTTTTGCAGTGATACAGAAACTTCATGAAGTTGCTAAAAAGACATTATAGTATTAGCTACATTTTTCAGGACCAAAAGTATCAAACATCTACTTGCAAAAGTGCCTGTTATATCACGTTGATTAATGTGCATGCTTTAAAAAAAATGCAAGATATGCAAAAGCAGATGTGAGATTACTGTAATGTTTTTTAATTGTTTAGTTTGTGTGTGTGCATGCATGCATGAAGAAGTTTAAAAAAAAAAACAAATTCGACAATTTGCATTTTATTTTTGGGTGAAGAATTAAGGGGGGCTATGTTATTGTAGTGAGCAGTAAATTTGCCTGCTAGGCTGGTGGTCATGTTTTCAAATCTTCTTCTTCAGTGGAATGTAAAAGTTGATCTGAGCTCCTAGACTGACCCAGTGTAAAGAAAAATACTCGAAAATGTGGGAAATAAAGGCTGCCTTATTCTTGGAAACCTTTCTTCAACTCTTTAGTTGTATCTAATCATGATGTGCATTTTTGTATTTATATTGTGAGCCCAGAAGGAAACAGAAAATGAGTGAAATATTTTTTGTGTGGGGGAAGAAAGTAACAGATTTGTATCAGTTTAAAGTGGGAAGCCTTAAAACTGAGTGGATTAATTCTGCTTTATCACAGCAAATTTTCACCTGCTGGATATAGGAGAACAAAGACAGTATACAGCATTTTCATGTTGTTGTTGTTTTTTTTTTTACAAAACTTATGTTTAGCTTAAATTTGTGCTTGCTTATACATTTCTTTATGTGAACAAAAGCTGGTGTTTAGCTTGAATCTGTGCATTCCTGCCAGTTTTTTGTGAACAAAAACACATTTTACCTTGAACCTGAACCTTTGCATGATCAACAACAAAATGGCGTTTAGCTTGAATCAAGCCGTGCATTGCCCTACATTTTATATGAGCAGTAATAAGCTTCCCAGAATCTAACCATGCATTTTTTTTAAACAAACACCGGTGCTTAGCCTGAATCTATGCCTTTCTGTGATCAAAACCGAGTGCTAAGCTGGAGTGTAGCTATACATTTATTTCCTGGGGGGGGGGGGGGGGGGTTACATAAAGCGAGTCATTTTAAGTGAATTAGGTGAAGAAGATATATACTGTTTTTGAATAGGACACACATTAAGAAAACCCAACAATAGTATAACTAGAGTGCCTTTACACTGGGACCTATTGGGTCATAAAAATAAAAGCAAACCAAAAGGAAATGAGGGAGTAAAGCAAAAAAAAAGGAGGGAAGACATGGGGTGAGTTTGATGTCAGCTGGTTGAGGGCCTACGCTGCATTGAAAAGGGGGGAGGGGTTGAGGAACTAATGGCGAAAGCAAATCAGATTTATGGGAATAGTATAATTGTTTTATTTTGTCATTAATTGATTGCTTTAGTTGCATTCTGATAACTGTTCTAATTTTAATAAATTCAGCTTTGCTGTAATGTTTTTCTCGCCACATCAAATGTAAATGTACAGTTGCCTATAGTGCGCTTTATTAATTTCTAACTTTTGTATAACGTGTAAATTATATTTTATTTTGGAATTAACTTTTCTAAAATTAGTTATTTTTTTATTGTATTTAATAACTAACTTGTTAAAAGCAGAATGATTATTGTATTTAATGAAATAACATGTTAAAAGCAGAAAATTAGTGTATATAATGAACTAACGCCTAAACGACAGAATGTTATCATTATTAAGAAATATAACTAGTTTACTTCTTCCATTCAGTTAAAGGTAAAAGTGATCCTTTGGCAGACTCTATTCTAGATGTTGGCACTTGTTCATCTTTCCAAATGATAATGTTATATTGTTCTGTAGGGAGGCTTGGGAGTCACAGCACATGGTAATGGTGTGCGTGACTAGAAAGACCCGCTCACATTCTCAAGAATCTTCCACAATAAATGCATAAGAGTTTACAACCGTTTTTTTCAATATACAAAGTCCGACAATTAAGTAATGAGACTAATTCCATAAAAATGAAAATAAAAAACAGTTGAAGATTTAACCTGTATCTGATTCAAAGTAAGCCCCTTGTGCATTGATCTAAAAAACAATTGAACAACCTCTGAGTTCTTCTGTTGTTATGGTCTTTAAGTCGATGTTACAGCCCTTTGGGTATCATCAATATCGTTAAAGAAGTGTCTTTTTAATCGTAACTTTAATTTTAGGAATAGAAAATAATCACAGGGAGACAAATCTGGGGAATAGGGTGGAAGGCTGAGAACACACACTTGTTTTTGGGCCACAAATTCTTGTTTGATGATGTCCCTTGAGTATTCAACCCACTGATGTTTTTGATCATCCGACAACAAATGTGGTACAAACCGGCAAGCAACTTTTTTCTTGCTAAAATCTTGCACTAAAATGTTATGAATGGTCTCTCTGTTAACACCAGATTCATCTGCCATCATCCTCACAGTAAGACAACAATCTTCTTATATCCGTTCTCTGACTTCTGCAGTGAGTTCATAAAAAAGAAAAGAAATTAGGCGTCCAGTTCTAGGTGCATTAGTAATCATTTCCACACCACTTTTGAATCGGAAATACCACCTGAAAATGTGTGCATTAGATAAACAATTATCCCCATGAACTGTTGCATCAATTCAAACTGTTTCAGTGGCACTTTTTCTGAGTTAAAAAAAATATTTAATGTTAGCTTTTTGCTCCGTGCTGTTTACGTAACAATGCACCTCCGACTAAGTCAACAAAATGGCGACTTGTTTGTTGTCTGCTTATCGAGCAGCGATGAAAAGTTGCCAGATCATTGAAAAATGTTGCCTATTTAGATTCCATGTTTTACTTCATATAGATAGCATTTTTGTCTTGGCCATAATAAAATCAGTCTCATTACTTAATTGTCTGACTTTGTATATTTGTCTTATTTTGTTCTCTCCAGATGCTCAGCTCTTAACCTATCCGCAATAATTATCTCTTTGTCTCTAATCCCTTCCTAATTTCCCTCTCCATGCATTGCAGTTCATGGCATCATGTTCCCTTGAATCCACCTCTGTACCTCTATCATTCATACCCTGCTTGCACGCATCTTTAAATCATAGTAGAAACCAATCCTGTCAACCCACCTGCAGTTCAGATGCTATTGTAGAGATGTGTTCTATTAAGCAGACTAGATTTTCTCTTGGCCACTGTTTGTCATCATTATCTCTATGCACCATTATATTTTATTACCAGATTCCAGTACTCTTGGGGATTGAACCTTTGTGCACTGTTTGTTAGCACATATACAAGGAGACTTCAGATTAAAACCTTAAAAATATCATAACAAATATAATAACTATGCCATTGTCTTGTAACCTATCATTATTGTTGATAGGGATATCAAGAATGTTAAGCCCCTGACATCACTGTACAGATGAACACAATGATGTCATAATGACAATTTATCATATGGCCGCCCTACTTTTGACATGTTCCAAAAAGGAACAGCATTCTCTTTTAAAACTTTTTTTGTAAATCAATTGTTACAAGACAATGGTATGGTTAATGTAATTTCTTTCACACTTTTAAGGTGTTAATTTGAAGCCCCCCTCTAAAACACTGTGCTATCACAGCTCCTTGTCACTATATTTTTTATTATAGAGATATTTTTGATGGTTTTAACTGTACTGTATAAATAGGAGGCATTATGGTGCCTTGTAGACCATGTTACCAGGTTGCAAACGTGAACACTGTAACCATGTCAGATGTTGTAGGAGGAGACTAAAGAAGGCCGGCTCGAGACTTGCTACCTCATCCCAGAGAAAGCTTAGCTGCAAAATTCAACCAGTCCTGAAGGAGTGTACAGTGTGTTTGTTTCGTATGAGTTGGTCGAGGGTCTCTACTCCCCTGGGAAATAAAAGACAGAAGAAGAAGGCAGAATGGTGCTTTTAATATATATATATAAATATGAGGAATTTATTACAGAACTGATTAAATGGCAAACACTATATGTATTTATGTGTGTGTACATATATAAAAAGTTAGTTGCATATCTTTTACAGGATGTTGCAGAACCAACCCCAGCATTTTTTGGCTGTTGTGGTTTTTTTCTATGCAAATTTTACATTCACTAGTTTGCCATTGCTTCTGAATGGTCAGCTCTTGGTACCACTGTCGAAACCAACGCAAGACAGATTGTCCACAGCTGGGTATCGAACCCGGCACCCCAAGACTTATGAAGCGCATTCGCAATGTTCAAGCCACAGATGACGACACACATATGTATATATATGTTTCGGCATCTGTGGCATATGTATATACAAATATATTTGTTTGCCATTTAATAAGTCCTATAATTTATTCTTCATCTGCATTTCACCTTTAAAAGGCACATTGTGTTGTGGTTTACAGCTAGTCAGTGATGTACACTTCTTTTGGCCCAACAAATCCATTGTAAACAAACCCTTAATTAGTCACCTTTTACAACATGTTTGTTAAGGAGTAGTGGTCCCCCCCCCCCCCCCCCCCCCCTCCCCCCCCCCCTGCCAAACAAAATGGGGCCTCAGAACCCACATGGGAATTCCTTTAATTTGATAATTAGCTATTATTGTCTGTTTTATTTTAGCACTTACTTATAGTTTCATTAGGGAATTTGTAGTCTTTAGTATTTTCCAGCAACAGCTTTTATTCCCATTTTCAGAACTGAACAGTTTTCTCAAAAAGAAACTGCTTCCTGACAACCCAGATGATGTAAAGGCTGAAGACACCCCATCAGAAAAAGAACCAGGTTAATATCTTTTTTTGTTTTGGTTCTTCTTTAACTCAGTCTAGCCTTTACCTTCCTTAACTCAGTCTAGCCTTTACCTTCTTTAACTCAGTCTAGCCTTTACCTTCTTTAACTCAGTCTAGCCTTTACCTTCTTTAACTCAGTCTAGCCTTTACCTTCTTTAACTCAGTCTAGCCTTTACCTTCTTTAACTCAGTCTAGCCTTTACCTTCTTTAACTCAGTCTAGCCTTTACCTTCTTTAACTCAGTCTAGCCTTTACAGGATGCTGCAGAATGAACCCCAGCATCCATTGGCTGTTTGATTTTGCTAGGCAGTTTTACTTTCAGTAATTTACTGCTGTTGTTCGAACGGTCAATTCTTAATACCATTGTCGAAATCAGCACAAATTGATCTGCTGCCAGATTGCTCACAGCCAGAATTGAACCGGTTATCCTGGAATTATAAAGCCTATTTGCAACATCTAAGCCACAGAAGATAACACAGTAGTCTGTACTAGATAACCACATTTCGATCAGAATTGAGACATATGAGACTTATGGTGAAATCCCGATGAGAAATATACATGTTGAGTCCAATTTGTTTTAACGTGTCTTGCTGCTGTCATTTTTATTTGGCTTGGTTTCATCATTAATATATTATACCATCTATACCCTGCACGCGTTGCTACGCCTCCAATAGAAATTGAATTTAAAGGAAACTCGCTATAACAATAGTTAATAATTATATTGGATCAATATCCTTTTGTTCATTTTCTTGGGAAAAAAACTGACGATTGAAAGTTTCAATTTAATTCTGTTTATTGAAGTGCTTTTGGATATACAGTAATTTTTGTTTTCCATCTGGTGCTTACACGAATAAAACAGAAGGTTTTCTGACTCCTGAACAGGCTACATATAGCTGTCTCATGAGAAGGCATGGATTATCCAAATGTAGTCCACACACTTGTGATTATCTTTGTAATTTGTTAATGATCACTGCAAAGTCGATTCGCACAGGAAACTGCAAGCATTTGAATTTGAATGGTATGTCTGTTGGAATTATTGGGATGCGTGGCAATAGTATGTCTTCTCCCTTAAATTTTCTATTTAAAATTGTACCTTTGATGATATTGGTCGTCATCTTTTTCACCGGAAGCCTGGTACTGTTACAAAGTTGTGGCGGAATGATGTTTCGGAGAAGAATGATAAACACGCTAGTTTTCAGTGTTAAAACGTGTAAATGAAATAAATGCATTCACCTTCTGCAAAAATGTATTGTATTTCTAGATTCTAACACAACTCAAATCCGCAGGCAATTGTTTTCCTTAGACAGATACCCAAGAAATAACTTCAAGTATTAATGAAACTTCACAGCATTTTACGGAAAATGAATATGTATAACTGGCGGATGTTAAAATTCAAATTTAAGGGGTGCGTCCTGAATTCTGCGCATGCGCGTGTACGAACGTGGCTTTAATGAAATGTATTTGTAGAAATAATAAAAATATTAGTTTCGAACATTTTTCCAAAAGATTTAGCCGCCTATTTCAAACTAAGACAGGTAGAATCCCAACATCAAAACAAACATATCCTGTAAATTTCAGCTAAATTGGTTCAGTAGTACCTCACAAACAAACATTGATTTTAAAAAAAAAATGAAAAGATAACAAAGTTTTAGTAGTTCAAAGAAAAAGTATTTGATAACAGGACACACTTGTTTTCTTACAGTGATTTCAACTGTTTGCTTAAGTTAATGTTCGGCTTATGTCCGTGGCTTAGGCGTTCTGAGTCTGACTCATTATTCCAGCGTACTGCAATCAAAACCCACTGCTGCCTGCGTGGATTTTTATCTCGGTATGGGCGTCGCAGGTTAACCCCGCCTAAAATGGGTACCATGATATGTCCTGGGGGAGTAAAAACGGCTGGCGTAATGCTGACCACATTACCCAGCTAGTGCCAATAGTCTGTAAAAATATGGGTGCTCTTTCCATATCCCCGATGGGCCTAAAGGAGTGAAAAGGGATCTTTACTTTTGCTTTCTTTATTATAAATTGCTTTTAATATGGCACGTTTAATTAAAGATTTGGTCATTTATTTTGCTAATTGAAGCGGGTTTGCCGTTGGCAATCAAAATTGCACGTGTTCATATTTGTATGTGTCGTACAAAGTATAATTGTTTTATAGTCTATGCTCTGTAGTGGCACTGACAGTCAGTCTGTCTACATCCCTCTGTCTCATGTATTTTCAGTCACTTCTGACCCAGATGATCTTCCATGTCACAATGTCAGACAGTCAGCATCATATCTTTTGGTCTTTCTCTGCTTTTCTCACCATTCAATTTTCCCACCATCATGATGCACTCCAGTTTTTGCCATTTGCAATTGCCCCCCTTTACAATCAAACTGCTTCCCTGTGGGACAAGGACCCCACTTTGGGAAACACTGATATAGACGCATTATCATTGCTTTGTGTGTGTGTGCGCGTGTGTGTGAGAGACAGACAGACAGAGAGAGAGAGTGAGAGTGAGTAAGTGATCTGTCCATAGTGCTGTCATAATTCCTCTATAATGCTATATCTCTTTAGCTTCTACATACATTCTTACCAGTGGACTGACTATCTAAGATTTATCTTTGCATCTCAGGATGGGCTACGATATAAAACATTTTAAATTACACACAACAAACAGGGTTAAAATTTAACTTACATGTTTATACATTTTTCCTCCCCATCAGAACCTCTGAAAGTGGAACCTAAAGGTACGGAGGAAGCTGAAGAGCACATTCTTAAGGAAGTAAAAAATGTGGAGAAACAGGAAGTGTCTGCTGAAATTGAGAACAACAAAGATGAAAACAAAAGTGACAGAGAAGAAACTATTATTGTTGATGCTCCAGACATTTCTGATGGCGAAGAAAGTAATACAGTTGATACCCCAAAAATCTCTAATGGCGAAGAAAGTAATTTAGTTGATGCACCAATGATTTCTAATGGTGAAGAAAGTAATACAGTTGATGATCCATCAAATAACACTAAAAGTGATTCAGATGAGATTGCTGATGAAGGGAAAGAAGTCGAGGTCAGCAATGATGAAAAAGAATCCAGAAAAGAAGAAACTGTCGAGGACACGCATGTTGACTTGGAAGTTGATGATCCCACAGAGTTAGATGAGTCTTCGCCAGATGAGTTTGAAATGAAGAAAATGGAGGATGGAAAAAGTGAGAATTTGAAAGAAGCAGCAGAAAGTAATGGAAAACAGGAGAGCAAAACAGTTGTGGAAGAAACATCTGCAACTGATTTACATTTTAAAGGTGAAGGTGATGCTAATAGTGACGATGAGGAAGAACTGAAGAGTAAACATTCACCAGGGACAGATTCTAAAGGAACACATGAAATAAACATGGTAGAGGAAGCTGTGTCAAAAGATCTGAGTAAAGATGCATCATCGGAAGCAGATTTAAAACATTTAAAAGAAGAATTAAAAAGCAGTGACACAAAAAATATAGAAGATAAAAATGAGGCTGGCGATACAGTATTGCCCACTGGAGACAAATCCGCAGATGAAACACATTTTGATAAAACATCTACTGCAGAACATGAAACAGATGGCTCAGATGTTACACCTGATACACTGTTAGATGCATCGTCTCCAGAGTTTAATCAGAGGTTAGACTCACTTGCTTTAGAAAAGAGCAGATTGGTTTCTGATGTGGAGGGAAGAGGCCATCCACTTGAAAATACTGCAAGTATTGAAGCAGATAAATCATCAGAAGACATTTCTAGTCTGTCAGATGAAGGTGAAGGAAAATCAAAAAAAGAGAATTCTGTATCTGAAAGTTTTACAGCTGAACATGTAGACCAAGGGGATGAGAAGTATCTTGGTGATAGCTTCCTCCACAGTAGTAGAGCACAGCTAGAAGATTCTGATCTAGCTAAAGAGACTCCTAAACTGGACATAAATCCAACATCAGCTTCAATTTCTGAGAAGATTTCAGAATCACAGTCTTCACAAGTGGGAATTGAGTCAAGCAATACTGATGATCAGAAGATTGATGCAACAGGGAATCAGATTGATAAGAAGCTGGCTAAAACAGAGGAGTTGGAAACAATTACAGAAGGAGGCTCCACTATTGTTATTAATAAAGAGGGTGAGTTGGTCACAGCCATATTGCCAGAAGGTCATATATCTCAGACATCAGATGAAGTGGCACTAACTTCTTCCAGTGGTGTTGCCAGCTCTTTGTTAACAAATTCTGGTCAGTTGGATCCAACAGCAGTTGGCAGTATACTAAAGCCATCACAGACTCTAGAGGAACTGAAAAAGCTAGACACTGAATCCCAGCAGAAAGCTGGAAATAACTTCAACCATAAGAGTGCAAACACCTCAGGTGTACAACAAGAAAACAGTGATATCCTTTTAGATAGTCAGCTGGTCAATAAAGATTATCAAAGTGCAGATTTCAATAGTAGAAAGGTCCTCTCTGTAGACCACACAGCAGCAGCAGCGTCACAGCAACAGCAGCAGCCACAGCAGCCAGCCTCAGAACAGCCTTCGGAGGAACAGAAACAACAGAACCTCAGATCAGTTGTACCAACACCAGTAGCCAGTCCTCCTTCGAAACTTGATTCAGAAATGAGCTTAGCTGTCTCAGAGACACTAGCTGAAACTCTGGGTGCAACTTCAGAAGATGCAGATAACCAGGAATCCTCTACAGATAAGGAACATTCTAGTGCAAATGGTAGTGATGGACCAGTTAAACAAGAGCTATTACCTGACCAACTGGAGCAACCAGATGGAGCACCAAAAGTAACGGTAATTATTGTTGTTTATGTAAAAAGCAGTAGTTTCAACAACAAACAGACAACAACAAAAAAAAAATTTATTTCTATGTTAATTAAGTATCTGTAACTCTTCAAGCAGTATTTGGGACTGAATTACCACTTATCATGGCTAATAACTTGTTTAAACTCTTTGTTTCATTTTTAATTTAATTATTCTTTTAATGTTTCCTTTGTGAAAAATTTTTTTTTAAAGGAAAGGGGGAGGGGGTTCTCAATATTCTGAAAGTCATACAGACAATTTATCACATCTGTCAGAAAAAGACAAAGTCATAATGTTATGGACAAGAAAGACAAGCATTTTATGTCAGCTAAAAGGTTTTATGGCCAGCAAGACAGAGGAAAGTGAGAAATGTGTGTGTGTTTTAGCCTTTGGTCATTAGTTAGTCAACAGATTATCATCATCACACATTGAACCATCCAGTCCATAAGTACTCAGATCCCCTCTTCAGTATCTCCCTCAGCATATAGTGGCTTATGACACAAGTTTTATAAAGAAACAGATGGAACATTTTGGGACAACTAAAAGGATTTATTATTATTACAGAATTTCTAATCACAATTGTGAGAAAGAAAGAAACAGATGGAACATCTTGAGACAGCTAACGGGATTTGTGATTAGTAGAGTATTTCTAATCACTGTTATTTATATTATATTTTTATTGTAATATTTGCAAAAATGGGTGCTGTCATCAACTCAGAAAAGGCAGCTGTTTTGTGGTGCTTTCTGGACAATAGAATTGTAAAAGCTGATGTTCCAAGCCTCACAGTTAATAACAGAAACATCAAAAGATAAAACAAACTGAGGTACCTGGGTATCACTTTCGATAGAAGCCTGTCCTATAGGGTCACGTGGAGGCAGTTGCGGTGACATATCCAAAAAGGACTCAATGCTCTCAAGATTATGGCAGCAATGGACATGGAACATAGAATGCTGTTCACAATTTTCTAGCATGTGATCCTGTCAGCGATAGATTATGGGCTGCTTACCATATCAAAGAGTCAGCTGAAAAACTCGATTGCATACAGAATGAAGCCTTGCAGGTAATTCTGGGATGTACAAGAGATACCCTGGTAGTATGTATGGGATGTATACTTGCACTGCCTACTATTGCAGATAGGCTCAAAGTTCTACTGGCAAAGTCATATCTCAAAGTAGCTGCAGACAAGAAACACCTCCTGCATGAAGACTGGGTAGAGCTAAAGATCACGGACAGAAAAGAGGAATGTCTTGGATAGCGCAAGCTGAAGACACAATTCCACATTTGTACAGGCTTTATAATTTTGAGCTGGGAGAGGAGTGGGTCAGGGTATCCGAACAAGTTTCAGTCTTGTGTAGAGTTCTAATCACGTTAGGTCTTGAGTGCAGAGACTGGCCAGCTGGTGCTGCAGAATCAGAAGTTCAACAAATGATTCATGACAAATCCCGCCCAAGTGATGTGATTATCTATACAGATGGCTCTGTGTTGAGGGGCAGACAAAGTGGGGTTTTATAGCAAAGGTGAATGGACGTCACTTAGTGCAGCAAAGCCTTGCATATGATATCACAACGTCTAGTTTGAGAATGGATGTGGAGGCAGTCTCTACTATCTCCCGCTTTCTTGAAAATCAGCTGTACGCACATGCCGTGGTTGTAACTGACTCACAGAGCATGTTGAGAAAGGTGAAAACAGGCATGCTTCATGCAGAGTTGCAAGCATCACTTCAGAGGTCTCAAATAGTTAGCATCCTTTGGGTATTTTCTCCAAGGGATGCCGGTGTGTTGGGAAATGAGCAGTCAGATAGACTGGCTGGCTCTGCACCACTTGGTGGTGAATTGATGTATGACAAGTATGATATTGTGAGTGCCCTTTGGGAACGGGTGAACAGTAAGGAGGCACAGGTAGATCATTACCGTGGAGGAGAATGGCGCTGCGAGGAGTTACCAGGAGATGCTCAACACTCAGGGGAAGGATGAGAAGGATATACAATCAGACTGTTACTGGTACCATCGTAATTGGAACTCTTCGTTTGCTGCTGAAGATTAGGACTGAGCACTTATGGGAGTGTCTCGAGTGCTGTGATGTCGATTCTCAATTCAACATTCAACATAATCAGAGTTATGAGAAATAAATAAATAAATTGAACATCTTGAGACAGCTAACAGGATTTGTGATTAATAGAGTATTTTTAACAACATCTACAAGAAATAAAGAAACAAACTATAACATCTTGTGGCAGCTGAAAAGTATTATGGCAAAGGAGAGTAAGTGAAATAAAAGTCCCTTTTTACGCCAGTTACACATCAGGGCATATGATGCCACTCATATGTTATATAGGCCAGTCAGCACTTGATGGGTGGTGTGTTCAAAGTGGTGGTAGATAGAAGCAGTGCAATTTTTTTTAATGTAAAAAATAAAATATTGACCACATTACTCATCAATTGCGGGTTGATCGGTGACGGTATGGGGGCTAGCTGCAAATACCCATTCACCCCAGCTTAATATTTTTTCTTTCTTGAAAGGAGATAATCAGAGTTACATTCAAGATACTTTGCTCTGAGTGTAGAATAAGACTGTATTTCTAATAGTTCTGCATGCTTGTTTCTGCCTTGGCAACACCAGATGTAAATGGTGCCGAGAATAATGCAAAGTGGTGGTTAAAAATGAGAAATCAGGAATCTTTCTTGAAATTCTTTTGAAAACATCACCAGGTAACGGTCACATTTAGTAAAGCTAAGTACAGATTCAGCACTTGTGGTATTTTCACCTCTTTGCACTCATTCAGATGTACTGAATTTTCATTTAACAATGGTGACTTCCATAAGCTTAGTTTTGTGTGTGTGAAGCACTTAAAGGTATCAAACAGGTGAGTGATGAAATTGTTTTTACCTTATAATTTCATCAAATGGCAAACAGGTTGCCCCATAGTTGCTCCATTCATTTTTAAATAACCACACAAAATGTCTATAACCCTCCTTTTTTGGTGAAGAAAATAACACAGACTGCAATCTTGGCAAATTCAGTAGCATACACACGCATTAAATGCATAAGGCAGCAGTCAGAAATGCAGACTTAAACAGTCCGACATCAGCAATGCAGTTCATTGTCAGTGGAAGTAGCAGTCACAATAGATGAGTAGTTGAACATGCCATTATTTGTGTAAGGCACAACTAGTTCTCTAGCAACAGGGCAATCAAGGCCGAAAAAGCCTTGTACGCTGATGACCTAGCAATATGGCAGAGTCATGAAAATGTGGAAAGTGGAGCCCAAAGACTGAATGGAGACCTTAGAAGACTGCATGAGTACTGCCAAAGATGGAAACTCAAGGTTAACTGTGCAAAGACGGTCTACACAATCTTTACCAAAAGCCACCAAGTAGCAAGGAAGAATATTAACCTGAGGTTAGACAAACACCAAGTGATGAAAGAAGAGCATCCCACATACCTTGGAGTCACACTTGACCGGCAGCTCAGCCTCAAGAACCATATTGAAAACATCAGGAATAAGGCATTGAGGCGGTTACAGTTATTAAAGAGACTTGCAGGTACATCATGGGGATCAGACAAGGAAACTCTGAGGGGCTTATATCTAGGATATGTTCGCATCTGTGATAGAGTAACTGAAAACTCACTGCTTACAACTTGCTCCAAAACTAACCTAGAGACTCTTGACAGAGTACAAAATAATGCCCTTCGATTAATCTGCGGAGCTATGCAGTCTACACCAACTGCTGCATGTGAAATCCATACAAATGTGGGAACCCTCGGGTTGCGGAGAGAAAAAGCCACTTTAGAAATTTTGAGAAGATGCGTTAGGAAAAATCGTAACCATCCTAATAGATATCTTGTAGAAAACTGGGAAGTCAAACAAAGAATAAAGCACAAATCGTTTTACACTGTGTTAATGAAATTCAGGACAGATACCACCTCCCAGAAAGACGTCAAGGAATTCAGAATGTTGCAAGAAACCTACCACCACATGCTCGCTTTAAAGCTCCAGAAGTCCGAACAGTAAATTGGTAGGCGAGGAAACCAAACAGTCCGACCCAATCGCTCTTATGAACTCTCATCACTCAGAGACCGTTGATTCTTACCCCCAAGAATGGATACATGTCTATACTGATGGATCAGCATTTAAAGCTACCATTAAAGCAGGTTACGGAATTTACATAGGTTTTCCCGATGGATCTGTTGAAGAGATTTTTGATGCATGCGGGGAATTCTGTTCAAACTATGAAGCTGAAATAATTGCACTGGAAACAGCAGTATACCACCTAAAGACTGTAATGGATGTTTACCCTTCAAAGGTCCAAAATATTGTCATCTTCACAGATTCAATGTCTGCCCTTCAAACTCTGGAGGGCAGTGAACGCTGCAGAACTTACATAGCCAAGATAATCCTGGATGCTGATCAGCTTATTACCTCATACAACATCAGAATAGAGATGCAGTGGATTCCAGGTCACTCCGGCACACCAGGTAATGACAGAGCTGACAGATTGGCAAAGAAAGGAGCAACACAAGAACAACCATCTACAGCGACAACCCTCCAGACAGCAAAAACACTGATAAGAGCTATAAACAAAGAGACTTGGTTGAATAGATGGGCCATGGGAGACACTGGAAGAGAGGTGTATAGACATATGTCTGGCCCTGATCCTAATGACAGCATTAACCATCTAACAAGAAGGGACCAGGCCACCATCTTCAGACTTAGAACGCAACATACTCCACTCAATGGACACCTATCACCAGAATACAGCCACAACACTCCCCAGAGTGCCAGCTATGTAACTACCCCTACGAAACTGTTGAACACCATCTCTTTGAGTACCCAAAACTCAGTGAGACAAGAAGAACGCTACTCCCTCCGAGACCAGACAAGTGGAACACCTTGTACGGAGGAAAAGAACAGCTTGTGAAAACATGCAAATTCCACTACATGGCATTGGGCCAAAGGGCGTAAGCTCATGCGCCGCTGGATCGATAACAACAACAACAACAACTAGCAACAGGGCACTGACCATTTTCTGAATCTGCAGTTTACAGCACAGACCACTTGGGCTGAGTAAAAAAAAAAGCATTCCAAATAAAAGCTCACAGTGTCGTGCCATGCACTTAACTTAATTCAATAGCTGGGTAACAGAACTATATCCTTCAAGTCTACATATAGAGGAAATACTTGTTACCGGGTTTGTAGGTTTTTTATTTTAATTTAATTATTTTATTTGTAAGAATATCATATCTCTTACTTTGTACACACAAAACTGTAATAATGACTGAAGCTCTGTTGCCTACTTGTGATCTGTTATCATCTTTAGGAAGCAGCAACTGAAATCCCTACTGGCCACACAGACCTTCCTCCATCAGAAAACTCTGTCGAGTCTGCGCAGACACCAGAAGACACCAGTTCAGCCACAGATTATGCTACAGACTCAATTTATCATAGCAGAAAAATTAATGATGAGGATTTGATGAATGAAGAGGAGCAGAAGTTTACTGGGCCCAGTCAGGGATTTTTCAAGAAGATCATTATATCTATTGAAAGCCAGTCTAAGAACCTGCTTGAAAAGGTAGAAAGTCATATATAATTATTTTAATAAATTTTTCTATAATATGAAAATAGTGAAATGTTTTTTAAGGAGTTAGTATTAAGTTCAGTATCTACCATGCCTATGAGCTTAGCCACTCGTGGTTTGCTATCTCATGTGATCACCAGAATTGGACCAGTTCACAATGCCATCTCATGTGATCACCAGAATCGGACCAGTTCACATTGCCATGATCACCATAATCAGACCAGTTCACATTTGCCACCTCATGTGATCACCAGAAGCAGACCAGTTCACATTGCCACCTCATGTGATCACCAGAATCGGATCAGTTCACAATGCCATCTCATGTGATCACCAGAATCAGACCAGTTCACATTGCCATCTTATGTGATCACCAGAATCAGACCAGTTCACATTGCCATCTTATGTGATCACCAGAATTGGATCAATTGACTGTTCACAATGCCATCTCATGTGATCACCAGAATCGGACTAGTGCAATGCTCTTATACCGCTTGAGCCATATGGCCATATTTGTGTCTTCCCCTTGCACTTTTCCCATTGATTTTTCTGATTGTCCTCAGATTGTTGACTCATAAGACATGCTTTTTAGAGGGAGGCAGTGGGTCTATTCTTGTTTTCCCCACAAAACCCTCTGGGGGAATTTTTCTTAAAGTGAGCTGGTCTTGCTTACCACATTTGCTATCGCCATGGGCTGTGATTCCCATGCTTGCCTATAACATATTGGAGCACTGTTGTCTGGATAGATGTAAAGGTGCCAACAGGTAGTTAACTCTCTTTGGCTGATAGAGAGAGAAAGAGAGAGAGAGAGAGAAAGAGAGAGAGAGAGACATCGAGTCATGCTGGCCTACTGAAACATTGGTCTGAACTAAATTCCAAATGAAAATTTTGTCTGCAATAGGAACAACCCAGCCTAGCACAATAAGCACCAGAAGCTTTTCTGTGTTAAAGAGGGAAATGATCCTTCAGCTGCCATATTAGTTAGTATATGTTATAGTGTCTGCTCTCTGGCTGTCAGTGCGAGCGCTTCGAATTGCCGGGATGCCTGGGTTTGATCCCAGCTGTGGGCCATGCGCCTTGTGGTGGTTTCGACAGTGGAATCAAGAAAACCGACCGTCCAAAAAGCAGTGGCAAACTACTGGACGTAAATTGCCTAGAAAAATCACACAACAGCCAGGGGCTGTTGGGGTTGGTTCTGCAATGTCCTAAAAAGGATACGCAACTAACCTTTGCTATATTTTATAGTTGCTGACATTAACATATCTCGTTTTCAGCTGCCACCATCGGTACACTCTGTGCTGGAGTCATTTGGTTTGGTGTCCAACATGAAGCTGGTGGTGATCACCTTTGCTGTGGCCTTACTGATTTCAATGACTTTCATCTCCTGTTGTTCTTCTGTGAGTATGGCATATTTAGAACATGTATTGTTGTGTTAAAAGGTTACAAAGCAAGCATCACTTCAGAGCTCCCCAATGGTTATGCTGCACCACTGGGTGATGATGCTTGTCAAGCTAGGTGTGGTCAAAGACCTTTGGGACAAGTGAACGGTGCACACCACAAATATGAATTAGCCAACCCTGCCCTGTAGAAAACTAGCTACAAAATCAAACCAGATGTCAACTATCAAAATTTGTATGGCCTTATTGCTTCATTAGGATATTACAGGCAGAAGAAGGAGAAACATAATTTGTTTGATACTGAAAACAATCATCAATGAAATTTGCCTGAAACTGAAAAATAGTCTGCTATTGGTCTGATCCTGAAAATTCACGAGGCAAAAAGCCATGTTGGCAAAATGTATGCCAAAATAATAGAAACAAGACTGAGACCAGTGATAGAACCACAGCTGGCAGAAGAACAGATGGGATTTAGAAGAAATAGAAGCTGCACAGATGCAATCTTCACACTAAAACAGTTAATAGAAAAGAACATTGAATACAATAAGAACTTATTTGTGGCATTCATAGACCAGGAGAAGGTATTTGACAGAGTCGACAGACAATTATTATGGAAAGTAATGGCAAAATATGGAGTTAGCGAACACCTCATCGACAGTATGTGCAAGAATGCCAAGCCCATGAATGAAGATCTTAGTAAGATCAACGAATTACTCTTTGCAGACCAGGCCTTGATAGCAGATACAGCCATTAAATTGCAACAACATCTAACATCCATGAATGAAGAATGTAAAACAAATAATATGAGAATCAACACTGAAAAGACAGAAGTAATGTCAATAAGAAAAAAGAAGACGGATCTAAACATAGCAATAGAATACAAAGGCATTAAACAGGCATCTGAGTTTAAATATCTGGGAACTACATTTACCGAAGATGGGAAATTGGATAAAGAAATTAACATTAGATGCAGTAAAGCAAACCAAGTATTGGGACAGCTAGCTCCCCTCTTACAGCATAAGACAATCCCAATCAGCACAAAGAGACATCTTATTCAAAGCATATTTATTCCAACTCTGTGCTACCAACAAACCATAAAAGAAAATTAGTAACCACGGAAATGAGATGTCTGAGAAGGGCTGTAGGAGTGACCATAAGAGATAAGATCAGGAATGAGATCATAAGAGAACAAGTCGGCACAGAACCAATTCTGGATTACATACAAAGACAGCAAGTGAAATGGTTTGCCCACTTAGAGAGAATGCCTTGTGACACCATACCATACAAAGCATACATGGAAAGAGAAGAAGGACGTAGAGCATGGGGTAGACCAAGAACAAGATGGAAGGATAACAGAGAAACTCTTCAACAGCACGATGTGTCTGTGGTCGAGGCAGCCAGAAGAGCTAGAAACAGAACCTTATATCTCCCTCGACACCCACAGCGGTAAAAGAGGAAGTGAAGAAGAAGAAGAAGAAGATCCTGGCACATTGGTCCGACCTGTTTACACTCAACTCTTTTACCAGAAGCAGAACTCAACTCTTTTACCAGAAGCAGAACTCAACTCTTTTATGAGAAGCGGAACTTAATTCTTTTACCAAAAGCAGAACTTAACTCTTTTAAGAGCAGAACTTTTCTCTTTTACCGGGAGTAGATTTTTTCTTAACCCTTTTACCAGAACTGGAACTTAACCCTTTTACCAGAAGTAGATTTTTACTTAACCCAAGACGCAGAACTGAACTCTTTTACCAGAAGCAGAACTTAACCACTTTCACCAGATGTAGATCTTACTTAAACCTGTTACCAGAAGCAGAACTGAATCCTTTTACTAGAAGCAGATTTTACTTTATACTGAACTAGCTGTACCCGGCCATGCGTTGCTGTGGCCCAGAATTTTGAAATGGAGAAGAAAGAAAATAGCTCTCAGCTAACAGTGTCTTTCAAAAATATCACGTTTAGAGTCAAAGGCAACGTTGTGTGAAAATTTGAAAGCAATCGGTTCAGTAGTTTCCGAGTCTGTAGTTAACAAACTCGGAAAATTAATGTTTTTAATAATATAGATTGAGTGAGTGATTGACGTTAAACCCTACCAGGACTGCACAGCGAGTGACTAAAATCAGGTGACACAGGGTACCACTATTCGGATGAGAATCCCTGGAGCGCAAGTACCAGAAACCCCTTCAACCTGTAGGTTATATTAGGGCCCCCAACGACAGCCAGTGTGGGGCCTTAACATAACAAAAAAATTGCACCCCATATGGGACACAGTTTGTAAATAAGCTTATTTTAAGGTAATAATTCAGTGCTTTCAAGATTATGGCAGTAGTAGACATGGAACAAAGAACAGTGTTCCAGCATGGGATCCTGTCTGTGATAGATTGTTGACTTGGAATGCTTACCATATCAGAGAGTCAGCAGATAAAACCTGAACGCATACAGAATGAAGCCATGTGGATAATTCTGTTATGTGCAAGAGATACCCCGGTAGTATGAATGCGATATATTCTTGCACTGCCTACTATTGTAGATAGGCTCAAAGTTCTGCAGGCAAAGTCATATCTTAGAGTAGCTGTAGACAAGAAGCACCTTCTCCTTAAAGCCCTGGGTAGAGCTAAGGGTCATAGACTGAAAAAGGAAGGTCTAGGATGACACAAGCTGAAGACACAATTAGACAAGTGTGCAGGCTTGATAAATGTGGCCGAAGAGAGAAGTGGCTCAAAGTGTCCGAGCATGACTTGTTTGGGGTTCTAATCAACTTTCATCGTGAATGCAGGGACTGGCCAGTTGGTGCTGAAGAATCAAAAGTTCAGGAAATGATTCATGACAACTCCCGCCCAGGTGATGTGATTATCTATACAAATGGCTCTGTGTTGAGAGGTAGACGAAGTGCATGGGGGTTCAAAGCAAAAGTGAATGGACGTCACAGTGCAACAAAGCCTGGCATATGATATCAAAACATCTAGTTTAAGAATAGAGGTGGAGGCAGTCACTGCTGCCATCCACTGGATTGAGAATCAGTTGTACACATATTGTATTTGTAACAGAGCATGTTGAAAAAGTTGGGGGACAGGCATGCTCCGTGCAGAGTTGCAAGCATCACTTCAGCGGTCTTGGGTAGTTAGCGTCCTTTGGATATTTTCTCCAGGTCATGGCGATGTGTTGGAAAACGATATAGACGGGCTAGTTCTGCACCACTTGGTAGTGAATTGGTGTATGAGAAGCTAGATGTTGTCAGAGCCCTTTGGGAGCAAGTGAACAGTGGGGAGGCACAAATAGATCATTGCGGTCTGAGGAAAATTGGCTCTGTGGGGAGTTACTAAAGGATCTGGCTGATGCTCAGCATTCATGGGAAAGGTGAGACAGATGATAGATGTAAAGGACTGAAGATAATAAAACTAGGAAACACAACATGTTTGTGTATAATATTTCAGGGTGGGGGGGGGGGGGGATTTGTTTGCAAATATGTAGCAATTTGTATTATGATTTGGTGGATTGGTGTATATGTACCTACTTGTGTAGATATGATTGTGGATCTGCTTGTTTTAATCTGCTTATTTTATAAATATTGTGATTATTTGGATTTTAAAATGACTTTCTGATTTTCTGTGCATTCCTATCTCAGGGAGGGTCTAACAAGAAACTACAACAGCAGATGTTAGGTACGTCACTGGTGTTCGTTTTTTTCTTTTATATTTCAGTTTTGTGACCTGTGTCAGGGTGATCACTTGGGATGGAAAAAGAGGTGGTTGTTTCTTTGAAATTGGCATGAAGAAATCAAAGCCATAGAATGAGATCAGACTGAGCAATTAGCATAGAGTCACATAGGAATTATCATGCAAAAGGTTAGAAAAAATACAAGAGAGGAAATAACACTGCGGTTTTGTAGACAGCAATGGGAACAGCAGATACTGTGTATTTACTGAAAACATTAACTTAAATCCAATAGACATAGTTTGACCATGGAATAAGAATTTCCTGATATAACAACAGAGGGCCATGTTGAAGAAATAAAATCAATGCAGCTAGGAGAAGACCATGGAAAACATGGAATAATAACATCAAGAACCACTTCAGAACCTCCTTAATTATGGCCACCTTAACTTATTATAGAAAAATCACATACAAACGCACACACAAATTCTTAAATCTTCAACTCTTAACTGGAGAATGAGATAATAATGAATAGAAGTCAACCAAGATCTACAGTTTTAATTCATTGATTACACAAATCTAAAAAGAACTATTTTGTGGGGGCCAGCTTTCTGCTACCAGTGTCAGACATGGACCTTTACTAATGACTGCAAAACTCGTAACAACAAAGAGCGGATGTCTTATAAGAGCTGAGTTGAGTTACAGGAAGATATAACATTAAAAGAAATTTGAAGACTGGACCAACACCAGTCATAGAGTTCATTATAGGATATTAAGGTGTGCGAGGTAACGAGCAGGCTGATAGATTAACTGCTGCCACTCCTCAGGGTGGTGAGCTACTATATGATAAAGCTGTTGTAGTGAAGACTCTATGGGATCAGATGGAAATTGCAAAAGAACAGATAAGGAATCCATACACTGAAGACTAATTCAGTGGAGGGTGAGTAGAGGTTCTGGAAGATTTTCAACACTGAAGGGGAAACAGGCAGACTTTCAATCAGGTTGTAGCTTGTACCATTAGCATGCCAGCTTCGTTGGTTACAGAAGAAGGGGACGGAGCATGTTTGGGAATGTCCAGAGTGCAATACTGTCATTTCTTGATTCATTCATTCATTCATTCATTCATTCATTCATTCATTCATTCATTCATTCATTAAAGAGCAGTAGATAAGACTGTTTGGCCATCTCATGAAAATTCCCTGATCAACTGCCATAAACAGCCATGCTGAAGAAATACATTGGCCATAGTACAAGAGGAACACCATGCACAAGATAGAACAGGCTTAAAGAAGTGAAGATCAGCTTATGCAGTATATTTTAAAAAGCTCGCTAAACATCATTAAATCTACCCTCAACACATCAAGAATTTAAGTGGAGGAAGAAAAATAAGGTTACACAAAGGTTTTCAGTAGAGTGAGACACCAATATGACATAAATGTATGCAGGTTTCAAAATTTACAGCAAAGACCTTAAACTCACAGGGAACATTTATTGTAAATAACTTTCGTCTTGGAAACGCTTTAAAAAATAGACCATGTGCACATGGGAATACCCTACTGGTAGTGCGGCACAGGGCAAAAGGGTTAAGGCTGTAACAGCTGGTGTTTATATATATTATTGTATGAATCTGAGGAGGTGGATCTAGAAGGTTATTCACATGACATGTTTGATGTGGATGTTTAGTGTCATTTGTTTACTAGCTTTCTCTTGTCAACAGTGAAGTTTGATGAGCTGGAGAAAAAGCGGTTGATTGATATCAAGGAAAGGCAGAACTTGGAAGATGAAATCAGTAGCAAAGAAGCTAAGGTTGTACAATGTTTTCATGTTTCAATAATATAAAATTGTATTATTGAGTGATAGCTATCTGTTGTTCGTAAATATGTATATGTGAGCATTAATCTCTGGTCAGCATTAGCCTAAAGAAAATTGGGAGTTTAAAGCTTCACTGTAGCGCTATCTATATTATCAGGACTGCAATGAATTTGTAACTGTATTATTTCTCTTTGATTTAATTTGTATATCTGAACTTTGACTTCGCTAGTTCTACAGCCATAAATCTATCTGTTAAGACATATGGTGACAGCTGTTAGGGTTCATCTCACAATATTTACAAACAAATGTTTTGTAACCTCTCTTCAAGGTCAGTTGATGGAGTCCAAACTAATAGTTTGTTTTCTTCTTCCACTGCTTTTGACATATTTTTCTAGCTCAAAATTTACTTGTTTGCAGTATAGTAGGGACATTTGCACCATTTGGTCAACGCATCCAGCTTCTGTACTACATTGTTTACGAGGTTAATCTTACCAATTTCTGATGTTTTCGTTTCTCTCTGTTCCTAGTGAGAGCTGCAGGTTTTATTTTTCATTTTAAATATGGCAAGTTTCCTTTCTCTGCAGCTTAAACCATTCGTGTTTAGCAGCGGTGGGAAGGTTGATTTATCATTACCTCATTCTATTCATCTGCAGTTTCCTGTTATTTAAAAAACTATGTTTTTTTTTTCAGTGGGATTTTGGTCACGCAGGCCTGTCTTACATTCAGTACTTTGAAACGGCTACCTTCATGGGCAGTTTTATTTTAAATAGCAGGCATATTTTAGAGAACCAGGTGTGCTGTATTATAAATGAACCGTCTTCTTCTTTGGCTTTCACCTTTCATTTCCCATTGTCCCTGTATGGGTTTCGGGCTCCATTTTGGAGAACAAAGTATAGACCCACTGCCCCTTTAACAAGCCTGTCTTAGGAGGTGTCTAATTATGGGTGTTACCTTCAGAGTTAGAATGCTTCTGCCTCAGAAGCAAAGAACCGACAGTCTGCATACTTCTTCTTCTTCTTCGTTCACCGGCTGTGAATTCCGGCGGAAGGTCCTGGTTATTCGTCCGCTTGGACTTTTGGCTTTTACCTGGACCTGAATTTTGCGTGTACAACCGTTTTGCTGTTCCCTGCCTCGCGGGCAGATGTACTCCGACTTTAAGGGAAGACGCCAGGCCTATTTCTAGGATGACTGTGGCCATTCTTTTGTGTGAGTCGAGACGTTGCCTGATTTGTGTGGTGTCCTCTTTGTCGCCTTCTCCGCAGGTGTTGCCCCCGGAGTACCCCTTTGGGGCAGCCCCTTGTGGAATGGTTAGCCCTCAAGGGAAGGCAGGGGCAGATCATGGGCATTTCCCACCATCCAAGAAGGCTTCCATGTATGCAGAGCCGGCACATGGTGCTCTGGTTCTGGGCTCACCCAAGGAATCGTCATGTCCTGCACATGCCTGCTTAACCTCACAACCGTATTAGGCCTCCCGCTCGACAAGGGCTGCGCCCTCCGGAAATCAGCAGGGAGCAGCCTGCGGGTTCTGGACTTTTGTGACCACACGAATAGGTACATTCTTTTTCTTCACACGTTAGATATCTTTGATGAGCCGTTAGCACTACAGAATTTAACATCCTGCATCAGGCATATCGTTATCTGTTTGGTCCCAACACTCGGGCGAGTGGGTCTTTAGGTGTGGACATTTGGACTTTTTTCCATTCAATACAGTTTGTGATGGTCGGATTTTGAGCTTACTCGTGTGCCGTAGGATCTAGTTTTGTCGGACATTTAGGCTTAGCCAGTCAATGGGCTGTTCCTGTTGTGGTGTACCTCAGCGCGGTGACGACGACACTGAGGGTTAACAGAGGATGTACATGGGTAGAATCTTGCTGCGAGACGCCACCCACAGGAGATGTTACTCGTCTGTGCTGCGGGTAAATCTCTAGGTCAAGGATTGAGTCTCAGCAGAACAATGTTCTCTTCACCCCACAAACTTTTAACCAAGGGTTGTAATTTTAGTTGTACGTTTGGCAAGCACTTTACTCCTGTTCCTAATGAGTTTTGATAACCTTTTTCACCCATGCGTTTGGGGGCGGGCTGATGAGAGCCACAAGGTCACATCACCTCTGGGGGCCGCCAACTCCGAAATCCTCTGACAGCTCTGTTAATGCTCATTTGAGACATTATCCATGGCGCACGACGAGGACGTGCTGCAGGGGTTTTGCTTGAGGTTCCGTAAAACCAGAACGTGAAGGACTGGAGCCCGAGTGACGTACGGAGTATCTCCTTATACACATCATGTTGGACTTAACTTTCCCTCACGCCTGTGACATAAATCACTGCGCCACAGTCTGCATACTAATAAACTGGATCTGTAAAACAGATGTGCACTAAAAATGCCCATAACTTTCCACTGGCGTTTACATCTGGTGAACTCTAAGAAGAAGATTTCCCAAATGAAGCATAGACTCATAACCTTCTCTCACCAAGCCCTTTCTAGACTTGTTAATGACTGAATGGATTTTGCAGTAAAAGTTTTCTTAAGATCCATCTTAGGGAGATGGTCATAGGGTATTTCCTCTCAAATGAACATCTTGGACTCTAGCACTTGATGCATAACTAGAAGCCAGCCTCATCTCAATTTCTGATTAGGTCCAGTTAACATGAGTGTATCTTAGTCGTCAACAGGTGGGATACAGAAATGTCCAGAGAAGGAGAAGGGGGGTGGTGGTGTATTTAATCCTTACTTGTATTTATGAACTTATTATATGATGCTTTGTCAAAGCCAGTGCTTTCATTATCTATATATTGTTTGTTTGGATGCACAAGTTGTGTAAGTTTAGTGTCAAGCTTGAATGTCAAGTTGTCAGACTATCCACCTCAAGTTTGTAAAGTTATATGTTTGTTTTACATAGTGTATCATTCAGTTCATCTTGCAGTTTTTAACAGAGATCCCTGGGGATTGTCGCCCGAGCTATGAAATTTCTGCTTTGTATGACATTCTCTGTAAAAGGCTATCTGCTTATTAGAGAGTCTTTGTAAAAGGGCATGAAACCCAATGCACTGAAGTCTATAGGGGGATCTCCTTGGTGAAGTAGTCAAGCCATTTGCCTCACGCTTTGATGGTATGGACCTCTTGCGTGAAGCCCTGGGTAGATCTAAGGGGCACAGACTGAAAAGAGGAAAGTCTTGGATGGCGCAAGCTGAAGACACAATTAGACATTTGTGCAGGCTTGATAAATTTATGTGAGATAAGGAGTGGGTCAAAGTGTCTGAGCAAGTTTCAGACTTGTGCAGGGTTTTTATCACTTTAGGTCGTGAGTGCAGGGACTGGCCAGCTGGCACTGCAGAATCAGAAGTTCAACAAATGATTCGTGACAATTCCTGCGGAAGTGATGTCATTATCTATACAAATGGCTTTGCTTTGAGGGGCAAACAATGGAGGATGAGGCAGTCACTGCTGTCTTCTGCTGGCTTGAGAATCAGCTATACAAACATGGTGAAAATATGGGGGTGACTGCAGTCAAGCTAATACAAAGAATTCCAGAGAAATTTGACTAAAAAGCTCAACAAAATGGGGAAGAAGAAAAACGTGAGCAACGTTTTTAAAAAAATGTGATGTGGAATAAATGAAATAAAATTAAATAAACGATGGCTAAAAAAATATAGTCGCAAAAAATAAAAAGTAATATTTTTAATATATAATATAATAGTGGGAATAAAAGAAATACAAATGTTAATGATACATAAATGATAGTGATAAGAGATAGAATAAAGTAATAATATGAAATAAAAGAAAAGAAAAGAAAATAATTAATATTTTAAAATGTGAAAAAAGTAAAACTGTTTAGATGAAGGTATGTTGGATATTGATACCACCTGGACTAAGAAGGCCAAGGCTGTAGAGGAGACTATTTTCCAAAGCGAGGCACGCCTCATCCACAGCCTTTTCATTCTTAGTCCAGGTGGCATCAATATCAGCTTACAGCTTCCCCATTTTATTGATCTTTTTAGTCAGATTTCTCTTGAATTCTTTGTACAAACATGCTGTGATTGTCACTGACTCACAGAGCATATTGAGAAGGTGGAGCCAGGTATGCTCCATGCAAAGTGGCAAGCATCACTTCAGAAGTCCCAGGTAGTTAGTATCCTGTGGATATTCTCTCCAGGTTATTCCGGGAAATGAGCAGGCAGATCGACTAGTTGGTTCTGCACCACTTGGTGGTGAATTGATATATGAAAAGCTAGACATTGTGAGAGCCCTCTAGGCGCGAGTGAACAGTGCGAAAGCGCAAATAGATCAATATGGTCTGAGGAGAATGGCATTGCGAGGAGTTACCAGGGAACCTGGCTGACGCTCAACACTCAAGGGAAGTAGTTTGTGCATAAATTCAGCTAAGAAACTGAATCTTTATAATAGAGGTAACCACTTTATAAAATGCCCGAAGAAAATGTTAAACATAAAATGGGATGAATTCAAGTAAGGTGAAGAAATAAGATAAATATCTTGGCAACCACTAGTATCAGTAGTTTTAAGACAGAGAAAGTGGTGCTATTTGGACATATAAGAAGAAATGAGCAGAGAATCACCAAACAGGCACTAGAAGGAGAAATAAAGGATTAAAGAGGTGAGGATGCCCAAAAGAAATCCTAAAACAAACATTTTGGAGAGGCCAAGGTTGCTTGGTTGGATTTTGTACATGATTTTGAATTGATTGCACAGGATTAAACAGAAGGGAGGAATAGACAGTAAGCCCTATGTGACACCTCATGGCAAATCAGGACAATTTAAAGCATTTTTTACTAAGAATATCACTGATAAGTTTACATAAAAATCGTCATCCTCTTGTGAGATGCAATTTTTCATTATTTTGAAACCCCACCCTGGCTTTTGCCAGGGGCCGAAATATAGCCCGGCCATAAATATGGCCTAATGGCTGAACGCTTTTTGTGGGACCTCTTCACTGGTGATCCTCATCCACATGGCGGCCTTTTCGTATCATCGGGTGTTTATTGCTTTTGTGATGTCCTAGTGGGGTAAAATATCAAATATTTTATATTTGTTATTGTATTTTGTTGATATATGTATATTTTATTTCAGAATCAACAAATGAAGGGAGAAATTGAGAAACTGAAGGAAGAAGCAAAGAAAAATAAGTCTGAACTACAGACAGTACAGGTATATGTAGTTTAATCTTAGTAATGGTTGTACTGTGTATCTCCCAAGTCTCATTAATCATTAAACCTCAGAAAGGTGTAAGTCCTAGAAGATTGCTGAAGAAGTCATAGTGACAGTTGATTAGATCAAGGCTGTGCTACAACGAACAAAAAACAGTGCACCAGCTCCAGATGGTATGAGATATGGTATTGGAAGGTGTACTGAAGAAGAGCTGAAAGTCTTAGCAGATTCGTACAGTAACAGTATAGCTAATGCTTGTAACAACGAGGAGTGGGTATACAGCTATGTGATACCTCTACCAAAGCCTGGCAAAGACCACACACAAATTCAGGGGTCAGATAATCACAATGCAGAATACTATAGGTAGGCTGTTGGAGAAGATAATTGCCAGAAAAATGTTGTGCGAGCTACCCTTGAAAGGTACCGTCCAAACAGAGAAACTTGGACCAGTGCAGCAGTTTTTTTGCCCATGACGTTTATGAAGGTTTCCATTCAGGCATTGACATGTGTTTGGGTAGCTATTGATCTTGAGGATGCATACAACAGAGTACCGTTAGACTTTTTAATGTTTCAACTTCTTGAACTAAAAATAAGTCCATTCCTTCTTAGTTGGATCTCTGCAGCCCTCTTCCAACAAGAAGTAGTTTTTAAATGTGGCAGTTGGACTTCTGAACCTACGACTAAACATTCTGGCCTACCACAGGGATCACCGTTATCTTCCATGCTGTTCACCGTTGCACAGTAAGGATCACTAGTGAGCAGATCAGAGGACAGGGGAAGATTTTATCGTACGCTGATGATGTATTAGTGAAGCCACAGGGTAAAGACAGAGAGCAGGTTGCTGGAGAACTACAGACAGAACTCAACCACATAAGCAGTTGGTTAAGCGAAAAATGTCCTTTGGTCAATCCAACATTAGCGATGACATGGTTCTCTTTGAAAAACTATATAGTCAACACTCCAATGCAGACTGTAAGTCTATGCTTAAAGATTGTGGAAAAACGCAGGCAATGAAGTACCTGGGGATACGATTTGATCGCAGCTTGGCTTATACTGAGCACATAGACCAAGTGATAATAAAAGCGAAGCGGGACTTGGCTGCAATGAAAGTGATGGCCGCAGCAAACTGAGCAGCGTCATTTATGTAATTTATATTAGGGTCTGGTCCTTTCGCTTTGAGTATGCGATGGTTATGCATAAGCAGATGGAGAGGATGGAAGATACAGAACAAGGCTATGTTTATTATACTTGGATGTACAAGAGATACAGCATGCAGGATGATATGCTACCTTCTTGATTTTCCGACTGGGGAGAACATAATTTAAATTTGCCGAGCAGGTGCCTACCCCATCGTCAGCACAGTCACACGACACCCGCTGCATGGTGAAATTAAGAAGAAAAAAGACAGCAGGTTAAAAAGAGGAAAATCTTGGATGGGCCAAGCCGAGGATATTATTCAGCAAACGTGTTCACTTAAGGACATAATAGAACCTGGTGAGGAGTGGGTACAAGTACCAACCGAGTGCTGTATGACCTTTTCTGTTTGCTTCCGTCTAGACAGAAACTGCAGACAAGAAAGTCCAGCTGCTGTTGAGGCAGAAGTGCAGGCTGTGATTTTTTAGAATTATCTACAGGGGGATGCTGTCATTTACACAGATGGATCTGTGGTTCATCATGAGAGAAGCTTGTGGGCTTTTAAGGCTCAGGTTGGAGTTAGAATTGCGAAGTAAGATTCTGGTGCTGTTGCCTTGACCACAGGCAGTCCGACTATATAGGTCATGGCAGTGACCAAAGCAATAACATGACTAGAGACACAGACCTTTTCCCGTGCATGCTTTCTCAGTGACTCAGTATGCTCAGGAAGGTAGGGAATGGCTGGATCTGAAGACAGTGGTTCGAGTCTTTAAAGCATTCAGGGCTGACACATATCAGTTTCATATTTGTGCCAGGGTACACAGGTCTGCAAGGAAATGAGCAAGCAGATTGGTTTGCAGGTAAAGCTACTGTGGAGGGCAGACAAGCCATGGACCATGCTGATATTCTGAATGCTCTACAAGAAGTAAGACATTTGCAAGAACCGAGTGATGACTGTGAATCTGCAACAATGACCAGACTGCAAGAACAACATGTTAAAAGGGTTGTGGCCAGACAAGAGCACTGTGCAGGAAGCCAAAGAATAAGAAACCAGCACAGAACTGCGGGATTTACTAAGGATGGGATCTGAGCACTTATGGGCTGAATGGTTCAATGTGCAATGAGGATAATATGTCGACTAACTGATTAAGGAATTAGTTTCATTTTTGTGCTAGGACACTCTGGGGTAAGAGGGAATGCACAAGTGGATTAACTTGCTGGCTGGGTCACGTTATGTACAGGAAAAGTAATGTACCGGGCCGACATTCTCAGTGCTCTCTTGAAGGCAGGATAAGAAGAGGATTAAGGAGATGACATTGAATATGCAACACTCAAAGAAATACAAACCCTGCAGGTCAAAAGTGGTGTCGCCAAACATGAACACCAAATAAGCAGCCAAAGAAGAACAGTAAACCAATACAGAACTGGTGTTATCAGTCGCCACCCGCTGAGGGATATACTGAAGATGGGATCCAAGCGCTTATGGACTTGTCCGATTTGCAGTGAGGATAATATGTTGATGAACTGACTGACTGACTGACTAACTGACTGACTGACTGACTGACTAACTGACTGACTGACTGACTGACTGACTGACTGACTGACTAACTAACTAACTATATGGCCAGAGTATTTTGGTTTTCAGGTTCTGAGACATGATGCTGTTGATTAGCCATAGTTAGATTCCTACTATGTTCATTCAGGTTTTGTTATATGTCACCAGTTTCCTCATCCACTGTTTTGTAAAACATTCTCTGTAACATTTCAGTTCAAATACCTTGATTTTCTTTAGAAGTCCTTTGTCTTTTCCCCCCTTAGTTTCACTGCAGACAGGTTGCCTTATAACCGTTTCATTCCTGTGCCAGTATAAATCACACACAATATCTTTGGCGGTCCCATTTAAGAAAAAAGTGTGAAAAACTTATCAATCCTGGCAACAACCCTGCTTAGTTGATGAGGTTTGTTGTCACTGCTTATTTTCTCATTCATGAAGATAATAATTATTTGAATATATGATATTTATACATTCAGCTTTAATTGTATTTACCATTCTTTTTCACCTGCAGTTGCACAATGAAACACTGAAAAAACAGCTGACATCATTTCAGTCACAGTTAGAAGAACTCAAAGAAAACGCTAGCTCTAAACAAGGAGAAGTAAAACAACAAAGCAAAAAGGTAATAGACATTGCAATGTTTGCTTTTCTACGCACTAGTTATTACAAGCAGTCAGCTAATTTCCCTTACATCTGTTAAAATGAGATTGTTTTTAGCATTTTCAGCGTCAGACATGTTTTTTTTTGGGTGTGGGGGGGGGGGGGTGGGGGGGGGGGGGAGGGGGGGGTGGGGGGGGGTGAGGGGGGGGGGGGGGGGGGGGGATTTATTGTAGTTATCATGTTAGTAAAAGAGCCCTTTCCATAACTTTAGGCATATTGGGCATGTAAGACTGAATATATATTTTATAGACAAACTGGCACCCAGTGGGTGATGTGGTCAGCATCATGGCAGCCACCTTTGCTTCCCAGAACCTTTATCTATTACCCGTTTAAGGCTGGGTTGACTTAGGAGCCAAGATCATTTTAGTTATGTCTTCGGTTTCAATTATTGATTACTGTACTTGTTTGAATAGTGATAACACAGATACAATATCTAAGAATTTGCGCAGGTTATTTAAAGACATTTTTTAGTGTATCTCGTCAAGAGGATGCTACATAAATAAATCAGGAAAGCATTCCTAAGCAAAAACAATGACCATGTTGATAAATAAATACACATTACACAGTGCTTGATGCACCATATTTCAGTTTCCGTGATGCGAGGTTTATCTCATAGACAATAGTGGTTGAACCATAGAAAATATTGGGACCTGACTGTGAAATATTCCCAAAGATAATAGTGGATGCATATATCCACTGCCGCCAACCTCCATTATGGAGAAGACAGACCCACAAAAATCTTGTTTTTCAATGTACTGGCATAGTTCTAAACTGACTAACATGTCTCAGTGTTTGCATATTCATGGGTACCTATGTGAATGATGGCGGCTTATGCAAAACTAAACATTTGGTGTTATGTGTAATAAGTAACAATAAATTCATTCTGTTGGTCCATCTCCCACCTGGAGCCCAGCAAGTTGTACACAGCCGATGACTCATTTCTGTTGGTTACTCTACCTTTTTTTGGGTGCTTTTATATCTTTCTTCTTGTGATTCAGCATGACTAAAAATTAGTCCTTTTTTCTTAAGACACCGTGAAATATGATTGTTTTAAGATTTCAACAAGTCAGTTAATTTGATTTTGAACATAATTCAAAGATGAATCAGTCAAATGCCATCTACCCAGTGAAAATTCTCTCTTTAACACTCTACTCTAGCCAGCATTCGTTAACTCTTTCAGGAAGACATTTGTTTCTAGGGTTTAGATTGCATTAATTTAAAGCTGAATTTTTTTTACTGCAACTTGGAAAGGAAGCAAAAACTTTCCTGAAGAAAAAATTATGGCTGTATAGAGACATTAAATATATCAAATGAAAGCAAAATGAATGCAGAATAAATCTGGAATGTTTGAGTGTTAGTATTACAACAAAAAATTATTAAAATCACACAACTTTCAAGGATGTTAGACACATGAAGATTATTTACACATGAAATGTTTTGCTTACCTTACATTTTACTTGTTCAGTAACACTGCTATCCATTTCTAAGAGTTCACATGCTTTCTGTTTTTGAAACCTTTAATTTATATACTTTTGATTTTATGACTTTTGAATGACAATATCAAATTTAATAACAATCAAAATCGGTAAGACTGCTGATTAAAACATGGATAATCCGATTGAAATATTTAGTTTAACTTCATCCTAACCTTTATTATTGGCGATAGGTTTGTCGCTTGCATTATCATTCATAATATCAAGACTAATTTCACTATCTGGCCGAAATTCCTTAACGACAGAGCAGTATGAATAGTTTTAGACCTTTTTCCCTAACATTTGGTTTGAAAATCACTTAACTATTGTATCATACTCAATCAAAAACAAATCAGGAAGTAATCAGAAGACCGTGCCAAACTTAAAAAGAAATGAAAAGACTTTGTTTCGCTAATTTTAGATTTTCAAAACATGCTCTTACAAATTCACTTTCCGAGCAAGCCAAACAATATTACAGTCAAGTTTAGTAGAGTTGAGTCAAGAATTGACATCACAACATTTGGGGCATTCCAATGTGCACTTTGTCCTCATCTTTAGCAGCCAGCGCAGAGTTCCAGGACTAATATTAGCAGTTGTAATCTGGTTATATGTCAGTCTTGCCTTTCCTCTAAGTGTAGTGAGCCGGCCAAACCCTCTAGTTAAACTCAAGTGCAGCATTCTCTCTAGTTCATAATAACCTTGTTTCTCTTTTTTTTTAATTACATGTTCCCAAAAGGCCTTGACAACGTCTACCTAGTTATTTATCAATTAACCACCCATTGGTGCAGATCCAGCCAGTATGTCTGCCTGTTCATTCTCCACCATGCCGGCATAGCCTGGAGAAAAGATCTAAAGTATGCTCACTACACATTACCTTTCCCAGTGAAGATTGCCACTCTGCTCAAAACACCCCTGTCTTCACCTTTCTCAGCATGCTCTCAGAGTCTGTTACAATTACGATTTGTGAATGTATCTTGTTCTATAGCCACCGGAAAGCTACAATGACTGCCACCACCTCCATTCTCATGCTAGATGTTGTGGTATCTTATGCTAGGCTGCTCTGCACTAAAGGTTTTCCATTGGCTTTCGCTATGAACCCTAGGCACTTCTCTTCCCTCTTAACACAGAACCATCTGTATAAATAATCAGATCATCTGAGTGAGAATTATTGTGAATCAGCTGTTGGACTTCCACCTCCATAGCACCTGCTGGCCACTGTCTGCACCCCCGGCCCAATGGATCGTAACTCTACACTGGTCAGACTTTTCCTCTGGTACTCTGACCCACTCCTCTCCTCGCCCAACGTTCTCCAGTATGCATACTTATCTTATTGTGACTTTTGCTTGAGCCATCCACAATTTTCCCCTTTTCAGCCTCCGACCCTTAACTGCAATGAAAGCTTCATATAGGGGGTGTTCTTTGTCTGCTACTGCTCTGAGGTATTCCTTCAGTCCATCTGCAATAGTCGGCAAGGCAAGGATGTATTGCATGCACACAATCGGAGTGTCTCTTGTACATCCCAGAATCAACAAGAGAACATCTAGAAACTAGAAATGACACTAGACAACAAAAAACGTTGAAAAGCTCTGGTCTTCCTGAGCTTCAGACTTTTGTCTCCAAATGATGAAATTGTCATTGTTGAAGAAATAAGCTCACTTCATTGCACATATCTCACTGGTCATCCACTGATAAAGAATATCTCTCAGACACATCATTCATACATTAAATTATGCAGTTGTAATTGAGAACATAAATTTGTTGCTTAAAATGGCCATTGAAAAACAACTTTCTGTTTTTCTTAGGTGGGGTTCTACTTGTAAGTAAAGCGGGGAAAAAAAACCTCTTCCTGCCATTGGTGCATCAAATAGACTTATATTTGTATAGACCTACTGACACTTGATGGGTGATGCAATCATCATCATGCCGGACTATTTTACTTCTCAGGGCACATGGCATTCTTTTTCTTTTTCTTTTTCTTCACTGGCTGTAAACTCTGCCAGAAAGTTCTGGTTGTTTGCACACTTCTGGACTTTAGTCTTGTTCCAGAACTTGCATGCACATCCATTTTACAAATCTATCTTGTTTGTGTGCAGATTGTTAGTTCCCTGCCTCTCAAGTAGGTGCACTCCAACTTTGAAGGAAACCCCCCTGTTTAGTTGTCTTCTACAACATGCTTTTTCCTCCAACGTGACGGGCATTTATTGTTACCCACTTTAGGTTGATTTAGCTGAGGAGCCCTGTTTTATTAAAATGCATCTCAACGTGGATTGGAACCCAAGACCTTTGGGTCAACAGGCAGGCATCTAGCCATTGCATTGCCATTTTTCTGAGTCCTCTTTTGGTTTTGGTCTTTTTTATAGACCTTTTTCTCTAAAATCCTTCTAGATTTTTCTAAACGTTATTCCAGCTGCAATAATATGTCAAATGTTTTAGGCATATCTCTAATGGTATATAAAGTCAATTATTAAGCTTTTGTTTTTTTAAATAATTCTCTCTTTGTGTGCTTAATATCAGGACATTTGTGAAGGTAGGACAGAAAGAGATTTGTTGCAGGTAGGACTGTGGGAAATGACATTGGAAGAGCATCAGTATTTTATTATTTCTCTGTTTGAATCAATATGGTCTGTGAAGGACATAAACATGTGTCTCAACATTATTTTATTGGCCTGTCCCCCCACATGTTACCATGTCTCCTGTTTGTGTAGGAAACGGGATAGCAATAGTACACACAGTGTGTGAGTTCTAAAATATAAAAATAAAATATATTATTAGAAACATTCAATAGCAGGACGAAAATGGTGTGTTTTTAAACATTAGTGTGTTCAAATAAGGATGATCCTGCAACAGGTCCAGCAAGTCGGTAGGGAATTTATTTGTTTATGGGAAATTGCTCAAGAATTATGGAGGAATTTGAAGAAAAGGAAAGGCGTAATTCAAACAGCGCTAACATCACACACTATGAAAAAACCAGATTTCGATAGCAAGCCAACGATCAAATACCATCACAAGCACTACATCTCAGAATATCAGCTACAAGAGCAAGAGGACGGCCACGGAAAAAAATGGATTGACAACATTAAAGACACTCTACGCCCTAATGGCATGACAATAGCCATGGCAGCCAACGTGCACTGGATCGCAAATTTTTCCTCCCTACGACGCTTAACGGCAGACGTGGTTGATGATGATGATTAGTTAGTTGTGTTATCATAATTGCACTCCTGAAATGTCTGTAGGTGCTCAGAACCCCCCCCCCCCCCAGTATGAACCCCAGCGTCCACTGGCTAATAGTACCGGTTCTGAGTTGATTAACAAGTCCTCTGATGTGCCTGGTGTGTGTCTCATTTTTTGCTTTCCTGGTTTTAACTCCCAAGTCTATCGTTCTAGCGAGGGATGTGAATTCACTACCCCCAGAGTCCTCCACTCTTCCCACTTCTCGGAGAGCTTTAATAATATCAGCATGATCCATGGGTTGACCGTCGGTAGTGATAGCATATCTAGCCAACCTAACAGCTCTTTCATTTCCATCGACGCCTGCATGTCCCGGAATGAATTGAAACAGTCATGATATCATATATCTCATTTCTAAAAACCATATAGGCTGAAAAATATTTATCTTTGTTTAACGTTTTTAATCAGGCAAATTGTCTGCCTTATTTCTGAGGTGAAAAAAAAAAGAATTTGGATATCTTGGGAGCTTCAGAAACAAGAATGGACTGATGCTAGCTACATAAAGAAGGATGTCTATATATTTATTAATTCTGGAGGTGAACATCATGAGATGACTGAAGAAATTATGAATTAATTATTTCCTGATTCAAAGAAAGAAAGCAGCAACAACAAAAACACTCTTGAGTATGCAATAATAGACCAAAAAAATATGTAACGTGCAGAGTTGCTAAAAAAGAGGAGAAATGTAAAGAAATAAAGTAACTGGAAATTAAACAAAACACAAAAGACGTGCATGAAAACAAAAGAAACCTCATAAACTGGAAAGAAAATCTAACATTAAAAGACTAACACACTTTTAAAAGCCATACTGGAGGAAAAGGTCGAAGGTAAGAGAGCAAAAGCTGATGATACAAGTGGGAGGACAACATCAAGAGGTGTACTGGCAACAGTCTGAGATGTACAGCCAGGTCAAGATCCATTTCAGCTAATCTTCACTATGGAGACGGCACCTGATTGAATATTGCAAAGAACATGTGCAGAGTTGCCTAAAGAGACATAGATTCAGGAGAAAGGTAAAGAAATAGAGGAACTGGAAAGTAAGCATAACACAAAAGACATACATGAAAACATAAAAAAAGCTCATAAACAGGAAAGAAAATTAACATTAAAAGACACAACACACTTTTAAAAGAGCTGGGTAATGGGACAAGTGGGAGGACAACATCAATAGATGTACTGGCAACAGTCTGAGATATACAACCAGGACAAGATCCATTGCGGCCAATCTTCACTGTTGAGACGGCACCTGATTGAATATTGTAACGACTCATGCATGAGGGTGTTTCTAAATGTCTTTTTAAGTCTCATAAACTCTGGCCCCGTGATAATGTTACCAGAAATATACTTGATATCATGTGGACAAAATGGCAAACTTAATGGGGAAAAAAACAAGAGAAAAATGGAGATAAAAATTGGAATTTTTGGCCTCATATCATGAGTGGATCAAGAGATGATTAACTATGAGCTCATCTGCAAGGCCCATGATAATTTGTGTTAGCAGTTCACTAGAACTACAGTTGTATATATCATCAGCAGGTGTAATTATTTGAAAGTTCTGTCAAAATTATCATTTACAAGTTACCATATGAAGAGGTACTTAATTTTAATTTTATTCATAAAGGTAGTCCTGTGGTAGTTGCTGCAGTAGGGATGTAAAGTGTTGGCTCTTCATACATTCCAGATCGCAGTTTTCAACCTGGTTTGTTCCCTTCCCCACTTTTTTTTCCAGGAGAGCACAGTAAATTTCAAGGGGATGCAAACTGTAAAAGGTTGAAAATCACTGTTCTAGATTATAATCTAATGAAAAGAGGTAGCCAGTCTTTTATTCACCACCATTCCTTCCAGAAAACCTTTTGAACCTATTTTAGGAAGCTATGTTGACCATATAGCAATAATGTTAAAAGAAAAAAAGCTTATGCTTATCTTAGGACATTAGCACAGATTGCTGTTTTCATAAATAAGCATGAATGCCACTATTCCACCACAGCTCCACTTGAAAAAAAAAAAAAAATTCCCGTCATCATGTGCCTTGTCAGATGGCATTGGCATTGATCTCTCCACAGAGTCAGTTTTAGTGTTTTGTCAGTAAAATTTTTCAGTGTCAGTATCTTTGGCCATTTAATATAATTTCCTTCTGTGTGTCTTTTAATACCTCAGACCTTTCCAGTCATTATGTTGTTATTCATTTACATTCTTTTAACCACAGGACCAACTTTTCATATGGTTTCATTTTTTCTACTTGCATTAATATTTTCTATGCATTTGTTACTCTCTGTGAATTATTTACAACATTCATCTCAGAAACTGCCTAATTTGCTTTATCACACTCCAAGATTTCCTGCCATACGTTACCACAGATAGAATATAACATTTCAGTACTTTCTGTTTTCAATCAATATCCTTGTCGGTAACAACATTTTATTGCATGGCTACCTTTATTATTTGTTCTGTGTTGAACTATTAATGTTCATTTTCTTTAGTGCAACATTAATAAGTCAAGAATGGCTCAGCATGTTAACTGGTGGTAAGATAACTTGAGATATATTTTCAATTGCATGGTTTTATGTGTTAACATAACTAATGCCATTTAAACCCTGAAAAATCCCTTTGTTAGGAGCCAGGGCTAATTGCTTGCCTGCCAGCATGAAGGCCTTGGGTTCAAAACTGCATTAAGATTGATTTTAAAAATTGTCCTCTGTTTCCAAGTATTTGTGGCCTAAGATAAAAGTATCTTGGGAAGTAAATGCAGGCGGTATGTTGACGACATCACCCACTCAGTGCCAATAAAAATATTGGTATAGCGTCGTAACCACCATTGCCGGTCCCAAGTCTGGATGAGAAAGAAGGAGAGAGAAAGGTGCATAGCCAGCTCTCCCACCCTGTAAAACATCATTAGGTACAGAAACTTGGAGGAAAGTATGTGCCATTCTGGTAAACACAGGATACAAAGGAATGATCTGAAAAGGGTCATTTACTTACTAATGCCTCCATTTTTCTAACTTTACCAGGCCATGCTTGATAAGTTTGCTTTCTTCTTGTTTTGAAAAAGCATTACTAGATACATTTGGCTTCAGCTGTAAATTGCACCCATGAAACAGGAACCTTAATTTCTGAAAATGAAAGAAATACAAATTTTGGGTATATCATACAGAACACTGGATCATTTCACAGGATTCTTGGTAAATCATACAGAGATCACATCACAAATGGTGAATGAAGTTCACCAAATAATTACTCAGCAAATCTGCAATATGTTTTTTAACAACAGAAAATATTCACAAAGAGTGATGGTTTGGATATGGTAGTATGATCTGACTTCCTTTCCAGAACATGACTACTGCCATATTACTAACAAGATTCAGACAAAAGAGTTCACTTCTGTATAAAGTATTCTGGAACTTTCTTTCAGACCAAAGATTTGGAGAAACAGATAAAGAAGTTAGAAGAGAGAGAAAGGAATTTTGAGCAAACAGCACAAAAGGTGAGCATCATGTTTTTGTTTTGTTTTAAATCTCAACAGTTACATTTAGCAGCTATTGTGTTTTTGAACATGTTCAATAACAGCAGTTGGATGGAGTAAGCATTTTTGTATATTGTGATTATAGACATTTCACTGTGTTATAAAAAAGTTTCTGATGCAGTCATTCACATAACACTGCCCTTATGGGTTCTGGGACCACATTTATGGAAGGAGGGGGGGGGAGGGGGGGGGGGGGGGATAGACCACTGGCCATAACAAGTATGTTGTAAAAGGTAACTAATTTAGTGTTGGTTGAAATCAGATGTGCTGGGCTGTAGGACACAAATATTAAAGCCTATAGCCTATCTGTTAACCACAACACGGTGTATCAAATCAGCTGCCCTTGTAGGGGCAGATGGAGGAGAAGAAGAAAAATCTAGCAACATTTGTTAACATAGTTTGTCAGATTGTCATGACTTTTTTTTTCTTTATAATAGATAAGTCATTAGACTATAGTTACAATTGTTTTTAAAAGCTGAAATTGAATTTAACTAAGATATTATTAAGACCCCCAAACATGAGTATGATTGCCAAGAAACTGACCATTAACAGTACTTTTCACATGATCATCATTTTCCACTAAGCGTTGTGGGGAGGAACAGTTTGCGATCCATTGCTTGATGGGCAGCAATGGCTATTTTCATTCTGTGCCGATGTAGGAGCTCTATAATGTCATCAATCTATGTTTTCCAAGGAAGACCTTTTGCTTTCACTTCAGATCTTTTCATGTGTAGTGCCAGCATTGGTAGTTGTTCTGACTGCATTCTTACTAAATGACCAAACCATTCGATCTTGTGTTTCTCAGTGAATTTGCTGCATAGTGTTGTTCCTACAGTCTGTCTGATAATATCATTTCTAACTTTGTCTCAGATTCTTGAGTTGGCGGCTTTTCTCAGGCACCTCATTTCACAGGTGTTAATTTTGCATAGGTTAGTCTTTGATAATGTCCAAGTCTGGCGCTGGTATCACAGTGTTGGTATGAATATGCTGTTAATAATCTGATTCTTGGTGCTCCAACTTATCTTTGAATGTTCTAATAACGGTGTCAGTTGGTGTATACGGGCTCTGGCTCGTTCACAATATGTTTCTATTTCCTGATTATATTCTTCCGTCCTCTGAGAATATACTTGCTAGATATTTAAATTCTTTAACTTGTTTCAGACAAGTACCATTCAACCTGATATGTAGCAGGCTAGCAATTCTGCTGACCTGCATTACTTTAGTTTTTGTAGTATTTATTTTTATGGTATATCTTCTGCATGTTTAACTTGGCCTGTTCAAGTGGTCATGCAGTCTACTGCCCTCATTGTAGAACAGATGCTGATCATATGCAAATATTAGCTCATTTATTGTCTATTGATCTAATTCTTTCTCAGGAACTAAAGTTCCTCATTTTCTCAATTGTCTGGGTTGACTGCTTTAAAACTGGCTTCTTTTGATATTCTGTCTATGTAAATAGTAAATAAGAGGGGAGATACTTTTCTGCCAGTGCAGAACGTTGACATTATTAAAGGTTCCCTTCCATCAAATTAACACCTGTGAGAAGAAAATAATACATTTTAAAAATGAATGTGTAAATTATAGAAAGTGTTTTATTAGTCAAGGAAGCAAAGCTAATAATCAGGGTGTTCTATCAGTCCCTCCATAGCGACTTTGCTTCAGGCTGACATGTTTTCAGATTACAAACTACACAACTCTCATGACGCTACATGCAACTATTTAAAAACTGTGACTATGGAGGGATTTATGGAACACCCTGTATATGTGGATTAGAAAAAGACACTGACAACTGTTAAGATAAAATAATGACACTGTGAATAAATGTTTACCTACAGCTGTTATCAGATCTGAAACACAAGGAGGAGGAGGTGGTGTTACTGACATCCAAGGTAGTTGGTTTCACAGACTTGGTTGGGCATCTCCAGACTAGCAAGGACCAAGTAAGCTTTCTGTTATGGTTCATTATATAACATGTGTTTATGGGATATACATATATAACAGTTTTGACTCGTAGTTTTAATCTTTTTATTTAATTTTAATGGACCATCTTAGTTTCATACAGATAAATCTCTTCTTTGTTGTAGCACCACTGTGATGTGTTTGAAGAGCTCGCATGTTCCAGTAACCCCAAGAGCTATAGAAAAGGTTACATGATTAGATAAAGCAGGACACAGACCTTCTGCCTGTTGGTAGCTTTAGTACAGTCAAAGGCTATGGGAAGCAAACCACAAAATACTCTTTGAAAATCAGACATGTGAACCATTGGCTTGACAAAACAGCAAAAGTTCCTGACACTAAATGCTGAAGTAGAAAGCTGAAGGATTCTTGGACAGAAGTATATTGCTGTTGTAAAGATAAAATAGTGTTTCTGTTAATGAAAGAGCCAGTAAATTAGTTCCTGATGGCCAGGTTATGATCACACCAACTTAGGGAGGCAGAACGCTCTCAGGCTTTTGGGAGCAGCGTGTCCACATCATGGCTAAGAATTCAAGAATTGGGAGCAAAGGCCAGCACAGCCAGGCATGAGATTCACACGGGACGTACAAGAAGCCTTGTTAGCTGGTATAGGACTGGCACTGTTATCAGTGGGTTGCTGATGTATATTTTGAAGGGAAAACCTGAGCTTTGTGGGCTGTTCCGGAGTGCCTTGAAAATAGCGCAACTCATAGCTCAAAGACAAACAAAGGCAATGAAGAAACACTTCAAAACCATCACATATTTGCCATCAGAATAACAAGGAGAGAACTAAGCACATTCCTGAGAATCAAGAGGTGAGAAAAAGATGCTGGATGGGGCACACACTGCAAAAACCTGCTATTATTATTATTAGAAAGTCTTCTGGAACACACAAGCTAAAAGAAATGAAGGAAAATCTAAAATCATTGGGAAAAGATAATTAGAGAAAAGTAAAAAAATATCTGGAGAAGATAGAGGAGGTGTAGGATATGGCAAAAGATATGATAGGTTGGAGTGAGTTGGCTGAGGTTTCATGCTTCTTTGTAGAATAAACTGCAGGAAGACAGTATGCTATATTAATGCATGCACACAGTCTGTGTATAACTTTAAAGAAACACAGTCTGTGTTTTCATTCATTGGGGGTGGGGGGGGTGGGGGGGGTCATCTATTGCATTTTTCAGATCTTTTTAATTTGGAAATATTTGAGTCCAGCTTGTTTTTTTTTCTTCCAGTAATATTAAAACTCAGTCTCCTACATTTTTCTTTATAGTTATTCCACGTTCACATTACAAAGCATAAAATGCAACTGAAATTTCCCAGGATGTTGGAGAATCTAAACATTTTAAAAAGAAGCTAAGACTAGAAGACAGCTTATCAGAAACACCAGAAAGAGGCAATCATAATTGTTTAGCCTCATTATGATCTTGATTGATCAGCAGGTCGTTTACAGTTCATCACTTCCTTCCATCACAGAGTTCGTCGCTTCCTTCCATCACACAGTTCATCACTTCCTTCCATCACAGCACTGAAAGTCCTTCTTTCTCTAGTCAGTTCTCCAGCCCTATATGCTTTCATAGCCAGTGTATCTCCAGTATCTTTTATCCACCATCTCGGATGTCTGTGTCCCTTTTTCCCCAGGAAACTGTACCCTCCATCACCGCTGTCTCTTGGCCACAATCTTTTGTCAAGGCATAGAAGGGTATCAGCAAATAAACTGGTGCATGCTTTTGGAGATGGAAAGATGTAGAAAAGCATGATCGCCCATGTCAGTCAGCAGGGCACTTGATGATGAATTACCAGAGGTGCATGTGGATAATATTTGTTATGTAGATAAAGTTGTGTATTTAATCTTATAATGATAAGTTTTTATTTTTATTTTTTCTTCAAACAATAAGTTTAATACCTATTTTATCTGTATATCTTTCTTTCATTTCAGCTGTTGGCAGAAGCTGATGACTGGAGAGAAAAGTAAGTTTAATTGCAGTGGCTTCATTAATTTGCTAGTCTCCTGAGCTATTTCTCAGTTGTTTTTTTTTCACCATTCTTCAAAAAGTTTCATTTTAACTGGAAAGAAGGTTCTCTCGTATAAGGGCTGTGTATGAGATTTCAGTGTGCTTCTTTTTTCTGTTGTAATCGGAGATCTCAGAGCCCTTCTTTTGTCTGTTTGAGTGTTCTGTGGGATTGTAAATCACTCTTGTCTGTCAACCTGGTGTTCATCACTCTTGTCTGTCAACCCGATGTTTATTACTCTTGTCTGTCAACCTGGTGTTCATTACTCTTGTCTGTCAACCTGGTGTTCATTACTCTTGTCTGTCAACCTGGTGTTCATCACTCTTGTCTGTCAACCTGGTGTTCATCACTCTTGTCTGTCAACCTGGTGTTCATCACTCTTGTCTGTCAACCCAATGTTCATTACTCTTGTCTGTCAACCCGATGTTCATCACGCTTGTCTGTCAACCCGGTGTTCATCACTCTTGTCTGTCAACCTGATGTTCATCACGCTTGTCTGTCAACCTGGTGTTCATCACTCTTGTCTGTCAACTTGGTGTTCATCACTCTTGTCTGTCAACCTGGTGTCATCACTCTTGTCTGTCAACCTGGTGTTCATCACTCTTGTCTGTCAACCTAGTGTTTAACACTCTTGTCTGTCAACCTGGTGTTTATCACTCTTGTCTGTCAACCTGGTGTTTATCACTCTTGTCTGTCAACCTGGTGTTCATCACTCTTGTCTGTCAACATGGTGTTCATCACTCTTGTCTGTCAACCTGGTGTTCATCACTCTTGTCTGTCAACCTGGTGCTCATCACTCTTGTCTGTCAACCTGATGTTCATCACTCTTGTCTGTCAACCTGGTGTTCATCACTCTTGTCTGTCAACCTGGTATTCATCACTCTTGTCTGTCAACCTGGTGTTTATCACTCTTGTCTGTCAACCTGATGTTCATCACTCTTGTCTGTCAACCTGGTGTTCATCACTCTTGTCTGTCAGCCCGGTGTTCATCACTCTTGTCTGTCAACCTGGTGTTCATCACTCTTGTCTGTCAACCTGGTGTTCATCACTCTTGTCTGTCAACCTGGTGTTCATCACTCTTGTCTGTCAGCCCGGTGTTCATCACTCTTGTCTGTCAACCGGATGTTCATCGCTCTTGTCTGTCAACTGGATGTTCATCACTCTTGTCCATCAACCTGGTGTTCATCACTCTTGTCTGTCAACCTGGTGTTCATCACTCTTGTCCGTCAACCTGGTGTTCATCTGTTTGAAACCTCATCTAGTGTAAATTGATCTGGTTCCTCACATCAACTCAGCTTCTTATTGATGTCACATTTGATGAGAGTCACATTGTTATTTTGCCTGAGCTATATATATGTGTGTTTGGGAATGAGCAGGTAGATAAGATGGGGGAGGGGGGGGGGGGTTACCGCAGCTGCACCAGGCAGAGGAGATATCCTACCTGTGGGCTGAGGTAGCAAGTAAAATGGAGGCTTTTGAAAACCTGCACCTGGAGAGAATAGTGTCACAGACTTTGGGCCCCACTCAAGACTCTGGGAAAGGCAAGACAAGTAGTTAACCAAATGACAACAGGTACCATCAGTATAGAGACTCTTTGCTGGCTTTTAAGGAGGGAGATGATGCTTAAATGGGTTTTTCCTAAATGCTGTGATGTTGAAGCTTTAACCTGATGAATCCAGCCTGCTACTGAGTAACATCAAATGTTCTTGAAAGTAAAGGTAGCCTGCTTGAGATTGAACAAATCACTCATTGTTTGTCTATAAAAGTATGGGATTAGCACCATATACCCATCATTAAACAGGCCCTTACTTACATACAAGCTGACTGACATTGCTTCTTAAATATCCGGGACCAGTGTTGCTGTTAAATTGCTGTGATCTCCATTTCTCTGGTTAATGTGTTATTTGCTGGAGTCAAGGCTGTTGAATATTTTTAACATTTCATGAGTTATTTATCTCCCCCTCCAGCTTGATACATTCTAAAATGGGTGCCAGGAAATGGTTTAGGAAGTAAAAGTGGCTGGAATGATGTTCACATTGCCTGTCAAATGTCTTGTAGTCTATAAAAATTTTTGGACATCCTCATATGTCCATTGCCTCTCTGGTTAGGAAAAGTGTCCTTAACTTCACTGCTGCTTTCATTGTTTGTTTGATGTTGCACTGTGTTAACTATAAAAACATATCAATCTAAACAAGAAGTAGAGCACGTCAGCTTTACATTTTTACAATCATAAACAAGAAATTAACACTGTGGCTAGGATGCCTTCATCATCCATTAATGGACATTGATAACACTGCAAACAAGAATACACAGAATCACTCTTCTATAAGTAGAGGTCTCTCAAATAAATATTCATGGCATGTCTGGACAGAGTCATATGTGTAATGCAAGAAGAGGTTGCTGGACAAGAAGAGAGATGGAAGTGATGAGTTACAGCAAGGGTCAAAACTCTAAAATTGTTAGATTATTTGTGTTGGGCGTTAAGGCTCTTAGGTGAGAGAGAGACAATTAGACAGCTAAGAGATTAACTCACTGGTTTGTTTCTAGGTTCTGCTGTGCTAATGTCCAGCTACAGTTAATTGATAGTACAGCAGCTCACAGAATTCCTATGTAAACCTTTTCTTTTTAAAGCAGTGTTCGTTTTTATTTATTTTTGTATATTCTCTTGGTTGCTGCAATACTAAAGTCAGCTTTATAAGTTTGTTCATTTTTATTCTTGTGTTTTTGTTGTTGTTATATAGCTGCCTGTGTTAAATTTATTTCTTGATTTAAAAAAATAAAACATTTAGAGGGTGTAGAAGTATGTGAAAGATAAAGAAAGGGCCATATTTCTGTGTCTTTATTTCATATTCAACTTTAATTTGAAAAGAATATAAGCTCTGAGCTTGAAAGGGAAATAGACTTCTAGAACATATCTGGGAGATGGTATTTTGATCCCGGCGACCTCATACCAAAGCTTTTATCCGGGTGCATATGATCGCCGTGGTCCATTTAAATTAAAAGTTGAAACTGAGTCTTCTGAAGGATTCATCGGCAGCAGCAAGAATGTGTTATCAGCTTGAAAGAGTGCTTGGGAATTCAGAGATATTGAGATAAAACAACTGGTCACTGAAGCTCATAATAAGTATCTTCACTTTTCTCTTGTCTTTGCCATGAGAATATTGTTACTACATACAAGATACATTTGTTCTGTAGTTTTTCTCCATAGGGGACTGAGATGTCACACCATTACCCCATTTTTCTATCCCCTGACACTTTGATATTGCTCTGATATCAACCCAGCCTTGTGAAAAGTTAGTGCTTTAGATTTCTCTGTAGAAATGTGGGGGAGGAGGGGGGGGATATAAAAGAACCAGTCTTATAAATGTATGACCATTATGTATAAACTCCTGTTTCTTCACATCATCCACATCATTACCATCAAGTGTTTGGCAGCTGGCGCGAGCGACCATGCCTCTCCACAATCTGCGTTCTTCAGCGGCGTATATTCATGACAGATGACTGTCAAGAATTGTATCACGTTGTCCTCCTCTGTCTCTTTTTCCACAGATCTCTCTGGTGGTCACATGTTCTATTTTCCTTCTTCTCATAATATGACCATAAAATGATGACTGTCTTTGTCTAATGTTTATGCTAAATCTTGCGACCCTTACCTCTTTCAAAACATCTGGGTTGCTCTTTTTGGCTGTCCAAGGAATTCTAAGAATGCTTCACATACCTTTTGAATACCTGTACATATTGCATTATAATCTGTGGCTGAGTTATTAGGCAATTTGCCTTACTTCCTGGAGGGCATGCGTTTATTTCATGGACTGTACGGTTCAGTTTAATGGGGATCATCGCTTGAGCTGCACAGTTTGTGCTTTCACTGATGGTCTTGATATAAGGCCACAGAGTCTTGTGTGATGAAACTCAACACTACAAAGTTTATCCTCTTGACATTAAACTTTTATAGTCTTTACCTTTGTATGTTCAGCAGTTGCTAAATAATATTGAAGCTTCATTTGTTGAACTTCTCCATGGTGGCCACATTTTGATAGAAAAACAAATAGACTCACTGCTCAACTCTTTCAGTTGGGGGTGGGGGGGTTAGCATCAGAGGCCCATGGGGTAGTACAGAGAGATGTATTCTGGGCACATCTTGCATTCATTCTCTTGTGAGGTAGAAACCTGTGGATGTATGATGTGTTTCTTGGCATGGAAAGAGTTAAAAACACGTCATAAAAAAGAACCAATTAAAGGTTTGCTTAAATCTGATGTTCTGCATATGGGTTTCAGGGCTTTTGTGTGTGTGTGGAGGAGGGGGAGGGGTGGGGGGTTGGAAAGCCACTGGTCCCCTGACAAGCATGTCATAAGAGATGACCAATTAGGAGAGCTTTCCTTCAAAAGCTGTTGTGTGTGTATGTGTGGGGGGTGGGGGGTGGGGGTTGTAAAGCCACTGTCCCCCTGACAAGCATGTCATAAGAGATGACCAATTAGGAGAGCTTTCCTTCAAAGGCTGAGTGCATCCACCTGAAAGGCAAGGAACCAGAAGTGTGTATATAATCTCAGTGTGTAAAAATGGTGTTTTACAACATGCACAACTCAAGTTCTGGAACAAGTCCAAAGTCCAGAAGTGGACAGACAACCAAAACTTTCCTCTTTAATTTACGACCAGTGAACCCTAAGAACAAAAAATTAGATATTAAGAAGAAAAATGCTGGATTTCATTGTTGACCCTGTCTTCTACAACAGCCGTAGACTGTTGAAGTACTTCTGCATTCTGAAAGTTTATTCTTCCTTCTGTCTTTCTCCTGGCATGTTGGCATTATGTAATTTCTTGTGTGTTGTTCCCTAGGGTTTCTGACTTGAAGGAAAGACTAGAACAGAGAGAAGAGGAATTTAGAGAGATGCAGGAGACAATCATGTTCAAAGAAAATGAATTAGAGGTTTGTATAATTTTATGTTCTTGGACATGGTATATTCTTCTTTTCTTCCTCCAGTGACCTCAGTGAAGTGTTAGGAGAAAATGAAAGGATTGCCTGTGGGCTATTTCTGATGTGTTGTGTAAATTGATGTTCGTTTGTTAAGGTTGTTCCCTATGCTGTTGTTCCATCTGTTATGTTGTCTTTCCCTTTTTGTGACTTAATTAAATGTCTGTGACAGTTGGTACAAGCACATTCTTATGAGATGACCAAACCATATCATCTGTTTCTTTTAATGAATTCTATAATTTGTGTTAATCCTAATTCTTCTACCTTTTAAACCTTAGTATAATCTTAATTGTTAAAATTTTTGATTTGTATATTTGATGACGTTTATTTTCAAGGTATAATAGCCACGGTAGGGCTGTAGCTAGACAGATGCTTGCCCACCGGCCCTAAGGTATTGAGTTTAAATCCTCATCAAGGTTGATCTTTGCTTCCACGTTGAACCACCCTAAAATAAATACTAGGAAACATCCTGGGAAGTATAGATGGCTGGTAGTGAGTGCTGATTTTTGTATACAAATATTGGTCTTACACTGTATGTGTGCTAAAGTCTGGGAAGTAAAGGCTGCCAGCGTGATTTTGACCACATGACCCATCAAGGACTGATTGCTCAATGAAAATTTGAGTCTAGCTCCACACATCACTTACTTTACCTTTTACCTTTTTTATCGTCTGATGAAAAAAAAAGTAGGTTACTTTAACCCACTGACTACCAATGTTGCACCTTATGCGACGAGGTGATGTTTACTTCTTGCTGCCAAAGTCGCACCCCTTGTGATGTTAAAATTGTGATTTTTATGATGAATTTTGTTTTGGCATTTAGCTATTCACTTCTACATGATAATTTAAGGGAAATAACTTTGTAGTGTTTATAGTAAATGTTTGCTGAATTTTCATTGTGAGATCCCATGTCGGTGAGACATTGACCACATTTTTCATCATGGTGTCAAATTCTTAGAACCATCGTGATGGTCATATTTTTCATTATTTTTTTGATGATGCACCTGATTTTCTTGATTTTGCTTTGAAAAAGGAATTTGAAGACACAACTGATCAGTTTGATGGTTGTGACTGATAAATTTATTGAAGTGCCATTAACCCACTTACTACCAGTGTCACACATTATGCGACGAGACGATGTTTACTTCTTGTTACCAAGGTCACACCCCCTTGCGATTGTAGCTTTGGACACTCGTCGCCATGTTAAATTTGCAATTTTTTAAAATGAATTTAGTTTGAGCCTTCAGCTTATTCACTTCTGTATAATTAAGGGAAATAACTTTGTAGTGCTTAAAGTAAATATTTCACAAGTTTTCTTAGTTAGCTCCCATGTCGGTGAGACATTGGCAAAATTTTCGCCATGGCGTCAAATTCTCGAAACCATCGTGGTGGTCATATTTCTCCTAATGTTTCTGATGATGCATGTGATTTTCTTGATTTTGCTTCAAAAAGTGAATTTGAAGACACTGCTGAACAGTTTGATGGCTATGACTTTGATAAATTTAACAATATGCCATTCAAAACATCATCAACTGTGAAATGACAGCATGATGCTTTGAAGTCGAATCTGACAAAGACTTGACTGACAGTTACACTGTCGGCTGCAAGCACTAGTGCGGCAGTTTCTGATACTGATAGTTCTTGTGAGAATATTCAGTCAGAGCCCACAGATTATGAAGATTTTGTGCTGAGTCTGCACATAACGAAGATAACATTGCCACTTTTGATTCAGAATCATCATCATCTGACGAGTCCAGGAAAGATTTGTAACGCCCCCCCCCCCCTTCCCCCTTCCCCCCACTGGTTGATGACTGGCATTGTGATTCGGAAGGCTTTCCTGAAGTACCCCCACTTACTGGCACTTGTGGTTTATGTCTTCCAGAAGGAACAGATGAATCACTGAATATTTTCACTATTTGCTTCAGCAAAGAAATTCTTGCTGTGTTTGCTTAAGAAACAAACTGTTATGCTGAGGCAAAGATTGGTATGAAACCAGACAGCTGTTTTGCCAAGAACTGGAAACACACAACTCCCAATGAAGTGAGAGGGTTTCTTGTACTGTTGCTTCACATAAGCGTTGTGAAAAAGCCGTCTGTTTCAGACTACTGGAGCATATATCTATTTATCCACTTACCATTTGCTGCTACTATAATGTCACGAAGGCATTTTCTATATATTGCACCACATGATGATGATGTCAAACAGTAAATCTGCTTTTTTTCTTGACATTTGTTATCTTTTTAATTTGGTACAAACAATTTAAGATAGGATGAGTCATCTTGAACAGTTGTGAAGCTGTGACATTTTTTTGGGGTCTATATTTTTGTCAGATAAAAGATTTTCAGTTGTCTTTTTTGCACCAATCTACAACCACAGGATGATGATGTAAAACAAAGGAAACACCATTTGTTTCTTCACATGTGTTCTCGGTTCAATTTTGGGCAAAAATACAAAATATGGTAAATGTTTGTTCAATATTTGAGAAGATATGACATTTTTGTTAGTCTATTGTTGTCAGATAAAAGACTTTTTGGTTGAATTGTTTGCACCACATGACAATGATGCAAAACAAAATATTGTAAGATTATGTCAAATAGTTGTGAATCTATGGCATTTTTAGCATACACTAAAATACGTGGAATCTTAGTAGATATGTTTGATCTGAGAGTGTGAAAGAGATGATGCTGATGTTTGTGTGGAAAAAACCAAACCAGTTTATTGCTAAATGAGACAGAGAAAAACAAAGTTAAGTTTATTGTTCTACGTTTAAAAAAAAAGTTCATCATTGTATAAAAAAGGTGGTTTATTGTTCTACAAGACAGATCTGTTTTTATGGAAAAAGGACATTTATTGTTCTACAAGACAGAAAATGTCAGTGTTTGTGTGAGATTTAGATGTATGATTAAAAGCGACAGTGTTATCTTATGCCTCAGTGTTCTTAATATCACTCAGTATGCTATTATTTTACATTTTAAAATGTTAACATGTTAAGACATTCTGAATTCAGATTAAGAATAATATCTATATTGTCTTACTGATAGGTTTTGCTGCTGTTTTGTGACGGTCAGATAAAAATGTTTTTATCTAACGTTTTATGCCTAGGTGCTGAAAGATTGCTTCTTACAGTTAAAGGCTTTTGAAGAAAGAGAAGAGGGTGAAGAGGATGCAGGTAATTTTGATTTAAACTTTATTTAAAACCAGGAAATCCTTATCTTGGGATATCGTCAAGTTTAAATACATGTGTTCAGTATTAACTTTCTACTAGGACATCTTCTTTCTTCGTTTATCTGTATTTTCTTTGTTCCGCAGGGTGTCACAGTTTGACAGGTGACTAACAGTGCACCATACTGCACTCAGTTGCTTCATATTCTTTGCTTCTGTGAAGTCCTAGGTTGTCAATGTCGCCTTCAATCCATCTTCTAAGTCTCCCTCTGCCACTTGATGTTTACATTTTAATGTTGAACGCTCTCACTGCAGGCATGAGATTGGGGATTCAGAACTTTGCTCATGTTTACAGGCACCACAGAATACTGAACAAGTGTTACAGACATGCTCTCTGCAGGTTTGGCCTGTTGGTATCTTATGGAAACCAGGCTATTTGGAACAGTGGAAGACATCCGTCCCACCATAGACTTCATAAGGGCCTGTGGCTTTATCTGAAAACCACAGGCAGGGAAAATGAAAAGAAGAAACAGTTTGCCGGCATTGGGGGGTTCATTCTTGTTATTATGTCTTCTTCTGCTCTTCTAACCCCCAATGGAGCATAGGCCCTCAGCCAACTCACGTCAAATCGTTCTTTCCTTCGCTATCACATGTAGCTCTCCCATTGTCCTCCCCATCTGTTTAAATTTGCTCTCTAGCTCCCTTTTCCGTGTGTTTTTTGGTCTTCCTTTAATTCTCTGGCCCTGTGGGCTCCAGTGCAAAGACATTCTAATTATATTGTTCTCAGGTTTTCTTAGCTTTTGTCCTATCCAGCACCAGTGTCTTTTCTTTACCTCTTAGTCCACTGGAACTTGTTTAGTTTTCTTCCAACGCTCTACATTAGTGATTCTTTCATACCATTTCATTCCCTCTCTTCTGCGCAGACATGAGAATGAATGTTTGTAGTTTATTTTAATTGCCTTAGTTGTTTTCATTGTTTTCACTCCTTCTGATTATGTGACGGAGAAGTTTCAGTCTTTATTTTTGAATGAATTTAACAGTGGATATTATTTAATTAATTTTTCTAACTTCATGTCATTCAACATTCTCTGTCATTCAACATTCTCTTTCCATTTTGTTTGTGGCTTTAGTTTCATAATTACTACAGAAGACAATCAGGGGTTTGCACGAAAATAAATGTGCCTCTTCCTAGATGAAAAGTTGCTGTACCTGTGTTGTACACGCTTTGGTTTTCTGGGCTTGAGTAGGGAAAGGAGACCTCTGCAACATGGCACTGGTAGAGGTCACCTCAGGTCAAGAGAAGAGTCTCTTCACTAGCCTTGTTCTGATAGATACTTGTCCTGAATGCATTTGCAGATTAGTGAGTTTAAAACTGTCTTTTAGAGGATTCACACAATTATGCTTTTGCTGTCCCAAATGTTGCTTTAGCTCTTTTGTCACATAGTGTTTCTATTGTATATTATTTATTATGATAAAATATGGGATGAGCAGATGGCTGAATGGTTAAGAATGCAGGGCTCTCATGCAGAAGACATAGGTTTGAATCCTTGGAAAGGTTGCAGGTTTTTTTCTGTTAGGAGCAAAACGTAAATCCTAACCTGCATAGTCCATGGTGATAACACTAGCCTTGCAGCCCTAAATCCTCAGGCTGAAATACCCCCCCCCCCCCTTTCCCCCCACTAAACTGCTGCTTACATTGCAAAAGGGTAATACTTCTTCTTCTACTTCTACTTCTTCTCTTCCACCTTGTACCTCAGTGAAGTGTTGAGGGGGAGATGTAACATTCGTTGATGAGCTCTGTCAAGAGCACTATTAAGACTGGTGTTCATTTCCGTAAGGCTGTTCTCAATGCCATCACTCCATATTCTCCAAGGTCTTCCACTCGCTCTATACCTGTTGTAACTTTTTAGTGTGGCTTGCTGTAGCAAATAGCTAATTTCTCTGTCCATACAGAGTAATACACAGGCAGCAATGACAGATTTGGGCAGATATTCTGTCATTGCTTATGTGTTGTACAGGTTAGCAGTTGGAAGAAGCAGCTTAATCTTTCTTGTTGGTAGAGTACCGCCATGCCCAGCACAGTAACTTTTCCTGTCAGACAACACCAAAAAAACATTACAGCTATTTTTTTGTTTTTGGTTTTGTTCAATGCTGCAGATAATTTATGTGATTCATGAATGTCCACAGAGAATGTCAGTGCACGAGTTCAAGAGAAAATAGCTTCAATGATGGATGTGTCTAAGGTAAAGGTTTCACCTTTTTAATCACAAACAGACATATAATGGGAAATACTGTAGCATATATTGTGTAGAGATGTGACATTATGTAATTTCATATTAACTAAGACTTATCATTATTAGGTAGAATAATCAGTTAGCTGCCTTCCTTCTCAAACTTTTATAAACATTATAGAGCCATAGTTTTCCATGTGGGTTCTAAGGCCCCATTTCTTGGGAACAAAAGGAATAAACCCACTGCTTTTCTAACAACCATTAGTACAGGTCTATTAATTAGGGGTGTTTCCTTCAAAGTCGGAGTGCATCTGCTTGAGAGGCGAGGAACCAGCAGTCTGCTTACAAATAAGCCAGATCTGTAAAGCGGATGTGCATGCAAAACTTAAGTTCAGGAACAAGACTAAAGTTCATGAGTGGACGAGCAACCAGCTGAAGTGCACAGTCAGTTAACAGGATGAAGAAGAAGAGCATTGTCTGTTCTTGATGCTATGTTTATACATAAACATTCTGTTCTGAAATAGGGATGAATCCCAACCATGTTAGGTGAACTTGGTATGCTTTTATTCATATAATGGGTACAGCTGAGAGAGTAAATTCTTGTGATTTGTTAGGGATTTCTATTTATACTGGATATAGCTGGTGTGAGAGTGGTAGTTTTCAGTTATAGAAGACACAGCTGTAGTGAGAGTGCTAGTTTTCAGTTATAGAAGACACAGATGGTGTGAGAGTACTAGTTTTCAGTTATAGAAGACACAGCTGTAGTGAGAGTACTGGTTTTCAGTTATAGAAGACACAGCTGTAGTGAGTACTAGTTTTCAGTTATAGAAGACACAGCTGTAGTGAGAGTGCTGGTTTTCAGTTATAGAAGACACAGCTGTAGTGAGAGTGCTAGTTTTCAGTTACAGAAGACACAGCTGTAGTGAGAGTACTAGTTTTCAGTTACAGAAGACACAGCTGTAGTGAGAGTGTTAGTTTTCAGTTATAGAAGACACAGCTGGTGTGAGAGTACTAGTTTTCAATTACAGAAGACACAGCTGTAGTGAGAGTGTTAGTTTTCAGTTATAGAAGACACAGCTGTAGTGAGAGTGCTGGTTTTCAGTTATAGAAGACACAGCTGTAGTGAGAGTGCTAGTTTTCAGTTATAGAAGACACAGCTGTAGTGAGAGTGCTAGTTTTCAGTTACAGAAGACACAGCTGTAGTGAGAGTACTAGTTTTCAGTTACAGAAGACACAGCTGTAGTGAGAGTGTTAGTTTTCAGTTATAGAAGACACAGCTGGTGTGAGAGTACTAGTTTTCAATTACAGAAGACACAGCTGTAGTGAGAGTGTTAGTTTTCAGTTATAGAAGACACAGCTGGTGTGAGAGTACTAGTTTTCAATTACAGAAGACACAGCCGTAGTGAGAGTACTAGTTTTCAGTTACAGAAAACACAGCTGTAGTGAGACTGCTAGTTTTCAGTTATAGAAGACACAGCTGTAGTGAGACTGCTAATTTTCAGTTATACAAGACACAGCTGTAGTGAGACTGCTAGTTTTCAGTTATAGAAGACACAGCTTTAGTGAGACTGCTAGTTTTCAGTTAAAGAAGACACAGCTGTAGTGAGACTGCTAGTTTTCAGTTATACAAGACACAGCTGTAGTGAGACTGCTAGTTTTCAGTTATACAAGACACAGCTGTAGTGAGACTGCTAGTTTTCAGTTATACAAGACACAGCTGTAGTGAGACTGCTAGTTTTCAGTTATACAAGACACAGCTGTAGTGAGACTGCTGGTTTTGCAGTTATAGTATGTTAGTTTTTGATCATAGAGGATACCGCTTTAGTGAGATTGTTACAGTTGTCTTATATAGTAGACACTTTAAGTGATTTTGTGAGTTTTTTTAAATATGGTAGACACTGTTCAAATAATTCTTTTGTAGTTTTTCTGTACATGGTGCACACACACTATTTAGGTCATTTTATTAGTCTTCTGTACTTGGTAGACACCGTTAAAATGATTTTGTTACAGTTTTCTCTACTTGGTAGACACTGTTAAAATGATTTGGTTACAATTTTCGGTACTTGGTAGACACCGTTAAAATGATTTTGTTACAATTTTCTTCTTTGTTACACAATTTAGGTGAGCTTGTCAGAATAATCCTTATTGAAAAATGATTAACAACTTTTTTACCAAATAAAGTATAGATTTTTCTTCAAAATGCTTCTCCCTGATAGATGAATAATCAGCAGACTGCATACAAATAAGCCAGAGCTGTAAAATTAATATGCATGCAGAGCTAGTTCTGGGGTGAGACTAAAGTCCAATAACTTTCTGCCAGAGTTTACAACTGGAGAACCACAAAGAAAAAAAAATAGATTAAAACAGACTTTTTTCTATTTTAATGTGGCAGTGTAATTAGTGTATTGTAAACAGTTTTTTTTTTCAAATAACATCTATAATTTTGGTACATGAATTCTGATGAATTTTGCAGATGAATGCATCTTTGATAGCTTTGGAAGAGGAGAAAAATAGCCTTACGAACAAACTACAGATTGAACTTGAAGCAAGACGAGAGTTAGAAGGTAAGGATAGCCATTCATATATTTTTTTTTAAACACATCAGCTCAGTTTTAAAATATTCAGAAATTAGAAATATCTATTTAGCTTTGGAATAGTCAGTAATATGTAGAAACGGTTGACAGTTCAGTGACACTACACATATATTGCTCAATTATCTAAATGATTATAGCGTAAAAAATGTTGCTAATGTGTTTTTGGGGAATAGCTGGCTGAACAGTTAGGAATGATGGTCTTTAGTGAGGGAGACCCAAGTTCGAATACTCTGTAAGGTTGTGGATTTTTTCTGTCCGGATAAAATAAAATTTAAACCTGCACAGTCCATGGGGACACCACTAGCCATGCGCCGTCAAATCCTTAGACTCAAAGACGCCTCCTCCTCCCCCCCCCCCCTGAAATAGTTTTTCTTTATTCCGTAGCTTATGTATTTTAGTTGGTAATGTCCTCATCCTCACATTTTGGAGTTTCCTGTTTGGGAGAACAACAGACTTGCTTCCTTCTTCTTTGCCTCAAAATCTTGTCTCCCCCCCCCCCCCCCCCCCAAATCCTTTCCAGCTTAGCAGAAACATAGCTTGAGTCTATCTGTATTGCTAGTTTTTAATTTCTCCCTTTTCTTCTTCTTTGTTTTTACCAACTGTAAACTCCAGTGGATAGTTCTGGTTGTTTGTCCACCTTTGGACTTAGTCTTGTTTCACAACCTGAGTGTTGTGTGTGCATCTGTTTTACAGATCTGGCTTATTTGTTTGCAGACTCTTTTTTTTCCTTGCCCCTCTGCCAGATTACTCTGATTAGAAGAAGATCCCCGATTAGTCGACTCCTACTACATGGTTCACATGTAGAAAATTGGGTTGGGGGGGGGGGGGGGGGGAGCATATAAAGGAATTTTATTTTCAAAGGCTTTAGAATTGTGCACTCAGGAGAAAGAGAGGCAAATTTGTTATAATTTACTTTTGTTATTCATGTCTTAAAAGTGGTTTTTATATCAGCTATTTAATTAATTTATTTATTCAGTTAGTTCTAAAATCAGTTATTTCATTTTATCAGAACAATTGGAAAGTTCACGTCGCAGCTTGGAGACAAGCATGGCAGACAAGATGAAAGCAGAACGACAGTATCAGGAAGCTCAGACTAAATTTAATGTCCTGTCTTCTTACTTCAAGGAAAAGGAAATGCAGCTTCAGAGGTCAGTAGATTATGTTTGATCTTGGGCCAACAACTGGCCTCTCGGCAGGGTCATACTTTTAACACAAATTTATTAAACCTCCATGTACAGATTGTGTAAACATAATTGAATATCTTTGTTAATGGAGCAGGTTGATATACTAGGGTTCCATTATTTTCTCAAGCAGGTAGATAGTTAATTGTAACATTTTTTGAAAGCAAGTATACAAGTTAATGATTCATTTTTTTTAGCAGGTTGATGAGTTAATGGTGCAATTCTTTAAGCAGGTAGATGAGTTAACGATACAGTTTTTCAACCAGGTAAATAGGTTAATGGTACATTTCTTTGAGAAGGTAAATATGTAAAAATTATTCATTTTTTCAAATAAGTATACATGTAAAAGGATGATTTTCTTTAGGCAGGTAGACTCTAATGTTTCAAAACTTTTTTTTTTTAAGTAAAAGAAAATGTTTATGAACTGTCATTTATTATATGTAACGATAACAAAGAAAAGGAGAAATACTGACATCTTGAAAGATCTGAACATCAAGGAAGATTGGCTAATAAATAGCATCCTGTCTCGGAAGCTGAAATATTTTGGTCATATCAAGCGCTACGACGGATTGGAAACAATTATAGCAAAAGGCATGGTACCAGGAAGGAAGGGCAGGGGCTGACCAACATGAAGATGGGCACAGGATATAAGTGACTCCTTGAGTATAAAAGTACATGAGGCGGGAGAGCTAGGGAGAGACTGAGTTCCTTTCAGACAGACCGTGATGAGAGCGATGTTCTGCAAAGGATCTGCTACATGATGATGATGATCATGAATGATAACAAAAGATGAGTCTTTAAACTTTAAAAAAAATCAAAGATCGTATCTTTTTCAGCAAAGATGGACAAATCATCAAGTGCTGTGCTGACTGGCATGGGTGATCATTCCTCTCCATATCTTGCGATCTCCAACAGCATATATTAGTGCCAAGCAGTTTTCTTATCTTTCTAATCCTTTTTTCATAAATCTTTTAAGTTGCCACTTGTTCTAGATTTTCCTGCTCTTGTAATGTAGCCAAAAATAATGACTGATATGTGTGATGAGTAGTCTTCAGTCTTAGCTTATGAACGTAAATACAATAATAATATCATTCCCTGTAAATAGAAGTGAATCATGCATGAAGAGTCAGTAGATTAGGGCGAAGGGCATGGCTCGGTATCCCTGTCGAGCTTGATGGACATGGAAGTGCAACCTGGAGCTGCAAGCAAAAAACATGTCACCAAGGTGACAAGGTGTTTGATTAATTTATACAGGACAGGCTTCATCAGTCGTTTTATGCTTGTGGAGCTTTGAGGAGGAGATCGGAGCAGCTCTGTATCAGTTTAGAATGCTGTGATGTTAGTCCTTAGTTATCACTGTGTGGAAGCAGCAGGATAATGGTTTTGTAGAAAAATAATGATTAACAGGAATTATAATGAGCAAAAGGTGAATGCTACAACCCAACCACCATCATAAACAACAAGGGTGGCAGTCCTGTTTTTAATCCAAATTAGAGGCTATCAAGATGGACAGAATATTTTAAAGAGCTACTCAACCATGAAAATGACGTAGATGACATCAGTTTTGTGCCTTAAAGCAGTGACCAACATGAACCAAACATCAGAAGTAAAAGCTGTTGTACGGAAGAGCCATAAAAACAAAGCACCTGGTTTCACTGGAGTAACTACAGAAGCTATTCAAGCATTTAACCCTTTATTGATGGCAAAAAAGTTAATACTCCTCAGAAACAAGTTAAGAAACAATAAGGAACTCTCTCAATGAATTGAGATGAGCTAGAAATCATCTGCAAAAGGTAGCTAGACTGTGTGCCAATACTACTGGATCCAGTTATGTGAAAGCATTCAAAATGCCAGCAGTAGTGGTAATATTAGAGATTTGTATGAGGGGATGAAGAAAGCCATTGGCCCAACTATTTAAAAAAAGTGCACCACTAAAGAGTTTGAATGGGGAGATGCAGCTAGAAAGATTGGTGGAACATTATCTGGAGGTGTATTCAGTTGATACTAAACTAATAGATGGTGCTTTAAATGCCATGAAGACCCTACCAACTCTTGACCATTTGGACACATTTCCAACAATTGTAGAAATTAGGAATGCTATTGATGAACTGGCTTCAAGGAAAACCCCAGGCAGAAATGGAATTCCTACTGAGATAATCAAGAGTGGGAAAGATATTCTAACCCCATACATTCATCAGCTAATAACACTCTGCTGGCAAAAGAGACAGGTTCCGCAGGGCTTCAAAGACTCCATCCTCATAACAATGTACAAAAAAAAAATGGGTGATCCAAGTCACTGCAATAGCTACAAGGGGAATATCACTGCTATGTACTGTTGGAAAAGTACTTGCGAGAACTGTTCTATGCAGACTCCAGATCCTAGGAGACTAGGTTTACCCAGAGTCACAGTGCGGCTTTCGTGGAAACCATTCAACACCCAGAATATTTTTTTTATGACAGTTGCAGGAAAAGATGCCTGATCAAAATCAGCCACTGTATGTTGCTTTGATCTTATTAAGGCATTTCATTTGGTAAGTTGAAAAGGTCTGTTCAACCTTGGTTCAAGATTGGGTGCTCACCTACCCTATTGAGCATTATTGAGTTGTTCTACACAGGTATGAAAGGTACAATCAACTTTGATGGTGTAACATCAGAGGAGTTTGTAATCAAAAATGGAGTGGAGTGGGCATGTGTACTTGCTCCTACCCTCTTTAGAATATACTTCTCACTTCTTTTGGAGCATGCCTTTTGAGATCAAAAGGGTGATTTATTCATCAATTCTTGATCTGACAGCAGCCTTTACAGTGCTTGTAGGCTGAAGGCCAGACCAGGATAAGAAAGATACTTATCAGCGAGCTGCTGTTTGCATAATGCAGCAGTAACCACCCACTCAGAGGAGGAGCTGCAATGTTTACTGTCTGCATGCTGTGAAGTCAGACTAACAGTCAGCAAAAAGAAGACAAAGGTTATGATGCAAGGTGTTAATGATAGACCTGCAGTCTACATTGATGATAAAGAGCTTGAGACAGTAGACCATTTTACCTGTCTGGCAAATATTTCTGGCACTTTGGGTAATGGTAGGTCATCACCATGTGGTACTGGACATATTGCAGAGGGGATGTTAGGATACTGAGTCCATTTCTTCCTCTTTCATATACCTTTCCCATTTGGAGGGACCATACAGAAGTAACAGTTGTTGAAATGATCACTGGGTTCTGTCCAAATCATTGGGACTGCAAAAGACAGCTTGCTTTTTGCCAGTCAACTACAGTTTAAGATTTGCTGAACATAAATTGCAGAATATGTGTGGCACGCAGCTCTTACCTTGATCTCCTATTCTGCAGCAAAAATACAAAATGTATGCCTTTTTTATCACTAGTTATATTTTGTTTTTGTGAGAGAAATGTCACCTCACCACGTACATAAAAGAAGTTATCAGCGCTGTTCATACATGTCCTAGGCATTTCTAACTATGATAGTATTAATAAAGTCAGAGACACTAGCTAATAATGGCAAAATATTGTCAGAAATAAGATATGTATACACAAAGGTGATGTAATCATAAGTAGGACTGCATCATCAACTTCTGATTACAGTTTTATTGGTCACTAGCTGTACCCGGCCACACGTTGCTGTGGCCCAGAATGGTAAACTGGAAAAGAAAGAAAATAGAAAGAGCAACTGTCTTGTATGGTTAATATCAGTCATTACACAGCTACAGAGATAGTCTGATATGCCGACTCTAGAACACGCAACATATCAGTGAATGTCGATATTAGTGGTCGAATAAAGTGCACTGTTAGAGAAGGAAAAAAAGTATTTGTTTATCGCAGGCTAAAGCATCTTTTGTGCTTAAACAGGTGAAAGAAAAACTGACTGCTATACCTCTAACTGACCAACAAACTGGCAACCAAAAAAAAAAATAAGAATAGCTGAGGAAACGGTATTAAAATATAAATATTTAAGAAATGAGAAATCTATATTAATAAAAATTTTAATTTTCCGATGATGTAAGCTAAAAACTCGGAAACTACTGAACCGATTGCTTTCAAATTTGCACACAACGTTGCCTTTCTCCAAGCGTGATTTTTTTGTCAGAAAATGGCACAAACCACGAACGATGTAGTTCCAGCAACGGTCAAATCATTATTTGTTTCGTTGCCGGCCCGGATTTGTTTTTATGTGATCGGCCATATTTGACTGCTTAGCTCTTTTTGAACTTTGCATCGATTCCCCACTAGGTGACATAATGTGTTTTTTTTAGCCCTTAACTGGGCGGCTGTCACGTTATGTTGTGGTTTATGGCTAGGCTGCGATATCTACGCCTTTTTCGGTTTTGGGGTTTACAGCTAGCCTGCGACAGCGGCGACGTGATGCTCAATGGTCATGTCACTGGTAATCTTCGTTCGCCTCGAGATGGCCGTTGGCTTGTTGTGTTGTGGTTTACAGCTAGGCTGCGAAATCTGACCTAAACTCTTCAGTCGTCGGTAGTAAAGTTGTAAGTATGTTATCCTTCACTCGGGTGACCAGTGTTCGATTCCCTGCTGGGTGATAATTATTCTTTTCCCCCTAAAAGGGTGGTTGCCACGTTGTGTTGTGGTTTACAGCTAGGCTGCGATATCTGCGCCTTTCGCCCAAAGATATCCGATTTTAGTTAAGTCCTAATTAGCCTCCCCGCGACGCTTCTCGATCAAAAACTATTCGGCGATGACAGAAACTGTTAACTAAGACGGCTTACAGTCCAGTTTAGTTTGGGTGGACACGGATGCCAAGGTCAGTTAAAAATCGTTCACTGGTTAGGTGATGGAAGTTCTTTTGTCCTGGGCAAAATCAAACTAAATAGTCCATGGCGACAGCAATGCGGCGCTAACTCATCTTCTCTACACCGACCTACACAGACTGTAGTGACATTTTTTGTTGCTATTGTTGTTGTGATGGTGGTGGTGGTAGTGGTTGCAGTAGTACTGGTACTGGATGGGTGATGTGGTTACACTGGCTACATTTACTTCTCTGTACATGTTAATGCTACCTATTTAAGTCTGGGTAGACACGGATGCAAAGCTCAATTTAGTTACAATATTTCGTTACACGGTGACTTTCCCATCCTTTGGAGAAGATGATATGATTGGGGGGGGGGGGGGTGTTTATGCCAGACACCGTTAGCTGAGAGAGCTTAAAATATTATTTTAAAGTTCTAATTTCTTAACTATTTCTATTTTAATACTTTCGCCAGGGATGATTTTTCAATCCTTCAGAGAGGGAGATATGACTGGTGGAGGGGAAAGGGATAGGGCGGGAGGGGGGGGGGGGTAATGACAGACACTGTTAGCTGAGAGCTACTTTCTTTCTTTTCCATTTCACCATTCGAGGCCACAGCAACGCGTGGCAGGGCACAGCTAGTTTGGAATATGATGCAACTAACATACTTGTTCCTATCATCACTGGAATTTTGACAGTTAGTGATTCTGTACCATCATGTTCTAGTTCTTCTCAAAGTTGTGGAAGTGACACTTTTCTTGTAGAAAAACCTGAAGCCAGTTTAAGAGAGATATGAATGAGAGATATGTGACCTTCTCTAGCAGCAAGTATATTTCTGTTGATGGCAGTGGATAAAGAAATAAAAAAAACTGGGGTAGCTGACTTTGCTGAAATTGATAAAATCATCAATCTGTAAAAAATACTAGTCTTTTTTTTTAACTGACAGCAAGAAAACTCAAGGATTAGCTTTGCATGCAGAAGTTTACTGCTCTTGTTGTGAAGAAGGAGTTTGTGGAAGGTGCCTAGCTTCAAGAAGAAGTGATCTTTTGCCATCAACAACCAGTCTGTTTATTCAGCATTAGTTTGTGGGATGGGTGCAACAGCATTCAGTAATTTTTGTAAAAATTATATGAAGCAACCATTAAGTGCACTGTCAATTTGGCAGTATTTTATTGATCAGCAGTCTTCAATATAAAACCCTGTACCATACCAGAATGTAGAACTTAAATAGTATAGAATTTAGTTTTATGATGTTAGCATCACTTTAACAAACTGTCAAACATCTGGAAGTCAAAAGACATTCAGCAAACACACAAAACTTAAGATCTTCAACTCTTGTGTCATTCCAATGCTAACTTACAGATAATGTAAGATAATGTATCCACTTTTATAAGAAAGCCTTGCTAAAACCACATTGGCCATGCACTCAGCATTGATAAGATAAGACTCCCCCATCAAGCCCTCATTTGGACACAGGAAGGAAAAAGAAAATGGGGAAGATCAAGAGAGACCCTGCATAGAACCATCATCAGTGAAGGCTTAACCTAATAAACATCCAAGACATACAAACAGGTGCCATGATCTGCCAGACATGGAGAGCTGCGCCTTCTGCCCTAAACGCCGCCCGAGGCTCAAGAGGAAAGACTATCTAACAAACACAGATACTATGATCATCAAGTTTTGTGTTTGTCACACCATTTACTTTATTTTCTACTTTGAACATTCTGTTTATTATATCCAGTGTTTTGATTGTACAGAGAGCTTGGTGAACATGAAGCCTTGAAGAAACAGAACCTGAACAAGCTGGTGAATGCCGATGAGACCACAAAATCTATACAACAAGAGCTGGACTTTATTAGGTATGCATGAGAATTTCGCTAACGTAATGTCCTTGGGAAAGTAATCAGCTGAAGGGAGGAGTCAATGAAAAGCTGATCACAAAAAAAAAAAATCCTCGTCAATCAGCAGGTCCTTTGCAGAACATTGCTCTCTTCATGACATACCTGAAAGTCTCTCTTTCTCTAGCCAACTCTCCAGCCCTATGTGCATTTATAGCCAATGCATTTTCAGTGTCCTGTCTCCACCCTCATGAAGGTCTACCTCTGGTTTGCTTTTGGGAAAATATAACTTTCATCACCGTTCTCTTCTGGCCTCTATGACGTATATTTTAACTTAGCCAATATGCACAGCTTTCAATACAGGATGCTGTTTATGAGACAGTTTTCCTTAGTGCTTAGATATTGTATGATTTTGGTGTTTTTATTCTTCTTGGCTTTTTCTGTATTGTGACATTTCAAAAACTCCAGTTGTTTACCTCAAAGATTGAGTAATAGTCCATGACACATCTTCTAGCTGCCATGGAGAAGATAAATTATCTCAAAGTTTTGACCCTAATTTGCTTGCAGGCGCTGTGCACAAAGAACAAGCAGTATAAAAGTATTTAAGATCATGAACAAAATATTGGGAATCATGATAGTGCAGTGGTTTCTTCGCTGTCATGGGTAAAAATTTTCACAGTGGTATAGTTTAAAAGAATTCACCTGGGCTCTCAGACTGACATAGTCTTCTTCTTCTTCTCGCTTTCTTCTTCGCACTCACTAACTTTAAATTTTGATGGAAATTTCTTGTTCATCCACTTATAGACTATAGTCTTGTTTTAGAATGTAAATTTTGCTTCCACATTCGTTCATTCGACACCTAGTCTAAAATGGTACCAGGAAAATGTCTGGTGAAGTAAATAAACATTGCAGCCTGGTGTTGACCATATCACACAAGTGCTGAGATGCCTATAAAAGATAGGTTTCACTTGTATAGGGTTCTAATCACTTTAGGTCATGAGTGCAGGGACTGACCATCCTGTGTTGTAGAGTCAGAAGTTCAACAAATGATTGATGACAATTCCCACCCCGGTGATGTGATTATTTATACAGATGGCTCCGTTTTGATAGGTAGGCGAAGTGCATGGGGATTCATAGCAAAAGGCGAATGAACATCACTTAGTGCAACAGAGCCTGGCATATGAAATCATGTCTAATTTGAGAATGGAGGGGTAGGCAGTCACTGCTGCCTTCCTCTGGCTTGAGAATCAGCTTTACACACATGCCATGATTGTAACTGTCTCACAGTGCATGTTGAGAAAGGTGGAGATAGGCATGCTCCATGCAGAGTGGCAAACCTCACTTCAGAGGTCCAGGTTAGTTAGCATTGTTTGAATATTTTCTCCAAGTCATGTTGATGTGTTGACAAATAAGCCAATCTTCTCACTTTGTCTTTCTCTGAGTCTCTTTCCACAGATCTTTACATGTTCCATTTTCCCTCTTCTCATGACCAAAAAAAGATGACTGTTTCTAATGTTGGTGATAAGTTGTCTTCAAGCATTCTCTTTTTTCAAAACATCTGAAAAAAGTGAATTCTCGATGACAAATTAGCTGTTCAAGGAATTCTAAGGATTCTTCTGTAAAACCACATCTCTGTGGCCTCAAGTTATTGTTCAGCTTGTTTATTTATTGTCGAGGCTTCACAGCCATATGTTAAAACTGGCTCTAAATAGTTTGCGAGAATTCTATTCCTAACCCACAATGACATGGATTTATTGCATAAAATGCTGTCCTTCTATTCTATTCTTTATCTCTGGGACAAATCTTCCATCAGATGATATCCATGTGCCTAAATACTTACATTTCTGTACTCATCCTCTAATAACGCCTTTGACTTGTAATATACTTTTAGGATTATTTAAAATGAAATCTTCAGAAAGCAACAGAAGGTCTGTCTTGGGGAAACCTCCACTATATGATTTACACCAGGGCCATTTAACTAACTTTACTGTGGGATCACAATTTTGAAAATGAGGATCGTCATGGGCCAGAGGCCTGAGCCCCAGTGTAGAAAGATCAACACTACAATACAATTGGCAGTGATTCATGGGTCACTTGCTAGGCCTCCATGGGTCAAATCTTTCCCACAGGCCACCAGTTGAATGGCCCTGATTTATACCATGATCTAGAAGAGAAGCAGCCAACTTGGTCAGTAAAATAGAACATATTACTGTCGTATGGCAGTTTTGTCGCGCACCTTTACTTAAGGAATTTTTTCACAAATCTCTCAGGTGCTCTGAGGCAGGGGTGTTTTGAATGGTGGCTCTCATTCGTCTAGAGGCCTAACCCTCGGTTCAAACTTTCCATTCAACCTGTCTCAGGGATGAGGTGACTCGAGCTCTGACTCCACAGGGTTATTATGAACACTTGGGTACCTCTCGGCCAGACGTCCTCATCACTATTTTGCCCCCAGACTGGTAAACAACGTAAACACAGTCAAATATAAAGACAACAGTGGAAATGACAAGACATGAATATCTTTCTAAGAACAGGAAGCCCTGTGAACCAAAACTTCAATTATGTATTCATTACTTCATAACAAGAAAGATAAAAGTCACTCGAAGAACTAGAATGAATGTTCAATTCTTAGGAGAGTCAAAGAAAGAGATAAAGTCTTTCTAAAGGGTTATGTCCAATTCCGGGATCATCATTGTCTGGAGGTATGAGACAGATTATGAAGGCACATCTGGAGTCAAGCCGCTACAAGGTGCTACTAGGACTTATCTGGTGGGATCTTGCAGCTCCTCAGGATGCCCGAAGATGGAAATCTGCAAAGTCTCACTTCTCAGAAGAACTCCGTACGCTTGATGATACCTCTGAGAATGAGCAAGGACAATCACTCCCCAGAGACTGGTGGGTATATGGTTCACGGACAGTACAGCATACTAGGTAATGGCTGCTCAACGCAGGTCAGCTGCTTCCCCGGTGTTGGTTGGTGGAAGATCATGCCAATGCCACTGACGCTTGCTGGATCTTCAAAAATCCTGAAAAACACAAAGCAACACACATGAGCGAACCGTACCCAACGCACCTAGTTAATCACTATCCTCACCACCTCCACATGCTCAGATATAATTGAGGCTAGTCCAAACCATGAAGGTTGGCTACCTCTATCTTGGAATCCGTTCAGTTTCCCAGAGTGAGCACTAGAGTCGTACGTACGTTTTCATTAACTCAAAAAATTTATGAATTCAGTCCTGTAGCGAAAGCCAGACAGATCTCTATCATTTCCCCTCCCTTTAAATATACCCTTTTCACTAATTGGAAAGATAAGGTATAGGAAATGAAGTCAAAACTAAGATCGAAGGAAATATGCTCCGAAAGCAGTACGACAGTCTAAGCTTGTTGTGGTTACGACAGCTCCTAGCAACAGCGGATATGACGTCATGCCTGACCCGAAGCTCCTTGTCATTCACAACGGTCCAGTGACTCACCAAGTTCAGAGACCGAATAAAAGCAAACAACTAATCATACAAAGTTAACAATACCATAAATACACTCCAGATATGTGGATTGATTGATCCGAAGAGGTTTAGAAAGCCTGTTCGAAGAATTCTCCGAGAAATTTCATCCGAAAGTGCATTCCAATCCGGATCGCTATCTGTGGCAACAACAAGGGAATACGTCTGTCCACTTTAACGGACTGCAAAGAAGTGACGTGTGAAAATACAGTCCCTATCTACAGCAGTTGGGGTAGGAATACGGCTCACGTAGACGGTGAAGCGGTCAGACAATTTATTTTAAATAGGCGTAGAAAATGTGTCCTTATGTGTAAATCGACACTAAAAGCCTAAAAGATTCAATCTAAAAGTGAATTATATGGATTTCTCCTATTTGGACTCCCCCACAACAAACGAACTATATAACTACGGTCAGCCTATCCGATATCATAGTTACAATGACGATTTTGGGGGTGTTCAGACTGTGGACCTGCCCAATGCGGTAGGTGTGCGTATCCTGTTATACGACAATTACATCCACTGCTGTTGTTAATAGAGCGTGATACTGAAATGTATCAGTGGATGCTCTTATACTGTAAACATCTTTGTTAACTCCTTCTGTACTGAGATCAGTTTGAGGCTGTTCAAGGTTTTCAAAACATGAGTCACAGAAACTACATCTCTGCTGCCTCCATGCCAAATTTATTCGTTCACATTCCTATGCTAATATAGATTTGACATAACATTGTAGGTCTTTCTTTCTCAATTTCAGTGAAAGTAACTCAGTTTAGACAGAGATAGGTAAATAGCTGAGTGTGAAGTGTTCTTGCTTCATTTCTTCATTTCATATCTCTACCTTTCCAGTAATTCTTGGTTTTTTTTTCATTATTTTTGTCTTGTTCACTGAGATGTTCTTTTACCTTTTGTTGGGATAATTATAGTGCTTTTTTTTTTTTAATTCAGCTTTCTAAATACTATCTGATTTTAGGTGAAAAGAGAGTTTTATTAAGTCTGTCTTTCATTACTGAGCTATTAATCTTTTATTTCAGGACACAGAATGAAAGTTTGAAGAGAGAGTTAGCATCATCAGAGAGAGACTTCCGCTCTCAGGTAATCATTGTTCTGATATATTGCTCACATTTCTTATTTTACTTCAACCATTGATATATATTAACCTGATATGATTTGCTTTGAATGTTTTCATATATGCTTCTCAGAAGTTTAGTTGATAAGCTTCCAGTTTTAAGATCATCATCATGTGCCCTGCCAGACAGCTTACAGTCCTTATATCTCTCTACAGATCTCTGTCCTTGAATCATGTTTTTCCACCATCCATTGCTTCAAGCTGTCAAATATTGTTTCTCTTGGCCTATCTCTGCCTCTGCTACCATTGATGTTTCTGGTCTTCTCAATATTCTTCTTCTTTCTCTTTTCATTCAGGGGCTGTAACTCCCATGGAAACCTCTGGTTGTTCGTCCACTTCTGGACTGCAGTCTGGTTTCAAAACCTGAGGGTTGCGTGTGCATCCGTTTGACAGATCTGACTCATTTGTGTTGGTTCCTTGCCGCTCAGGCAGATGCACTCCGACTTCGAAGGAAGCTCCCAATTAGTCGACTCTCAGGACATGCTTTTGGGTAGGCATTGAGTCTATTCTTATTTTCCCTATAATAGGGCCCCGGAACACACACAGGGGATTTACAATGTTCTCAGATGCCTCTCTTCTCATCACATGGTTGAAGAACTCTGACTGCTTCTTTCCTATAATTGTGTAAAGTTTTCTAATTTTATAACCTTCATGCAGTCATGGTTAGTTACAATGGCTGTAAAAGGTGTCTGCAGCATGCATCTCAGAAACCACATCTCTGCAGTGTTTCTCCAAATTCTTCTTAATTATTTCATTCACATATAGCTGCATATAATTTCATCACTTAAAAAAATACACACAAAAAAATATAAAGAACACAGAGCAAGGGGAAGACCACACAAAATATGGAAGATGGCATCAAGAACAGGTTTAAGACTTTCACCCCTATGACATAGAAGAATATTGCCAGAATCCCTTATTTTCCTTGTTTGGAAATTCCCAGAAAAAAAATTTCATCTTAAAACAACCAGTTTACACATGTTAAAACCCAAAAAAAAATGTTACACAATCTATTTTTGAACCAAAAAACCACAAAAAAAATACCACATAGGAAAGAGGAGACGGATTTACTGTCAGTGGTCAACCACCAGCTTTCAAGGGAAAGATGAGACTAGTATATAATCAGACTGCTATTGGTACCACTAGAACTGGAACTCTGCACTTGCTGCTGAAGATAGGGACAGAGTGCTTATGGGAATTTCCTGAATGCTGTGATGTTGATTCTTAATTAAACATTAAACAAGTAATATTACATCTGAACTGTGACAATCGCTTCTTTAAATCGGATTCTTGTCATCTTAAATATAATTATAGTTTTAATATTTGTCACTTCTTATGTTTTAAAAGTCTCTTTTCCATTTCTTGTTCACAGATTGCTGCAAATGAGAAAAAAGCTCATGAAAACTGGGTAAGAAACATGCTAACTGTGTTCAGTCACTCATTGCCATTGTAAACAATGCATATACATCCTCAAAATGTTACATAGAACCTTGGAGGGCCAGAGTAACTAACAACGATAGTTTGAAAGAAGCTTGAGGGCACGGAGATGGGATTTTACTGAAGAATCCTTAGAATTCTTTGGACTGCTAAGAAAAGCAACCCAGATATTTTGGAAAAGGTGAGTTCTCAAAGACAACTTATCACAACATCAGAGACGGCAATCATTTTTTTTGGTCATGTCAGGCAGCATAAGAAGATTCTTGAAAATCTTTTGACCTGGCATGGAGGGTGTCAACACACAAACTGATATACTCACTTGCAGATTGCAAGGCACTTGATGATGATGATGACTCATTGCCACTGTATATGACTACGCTGTTTTCATGACTTACTAATTCTAGAAGATCCTGTTTTGCACCCACAGAAATAATCCTTTGTGATTTATTAATTTTATTCCAATGTTTAGTCTTGTCTTATCTCTGTCTTGTTTAATATAACCTCTGTATTAATATTGCGTGGTAAGATCAATAGTGTGTATACCAGTGGATTAGAAGAACAATAGTAAGTTATAACAACAGTAAAAGGATTGCAAGAATAGTTGTAAGTTACCAGAGCAGTATTGGGTTGGTAACCATTGTACCCAAGAAACACTTTTTTTAAAGGCATGAACCTATGAAAATCCCCCCTACCCAAATCTTTGCAATAAAAATAATAAACATTTGACGCCACTAACAACAACAAAATGTTCAATGAATGTTTTAAAAAATTGAAATATGTTAAGGGAGCAGCCAGTAAACGTGAACTGAGTGAAGCATAAAGGGATTATTTCCCTGGGCCTTAAACAATATCTCAAGTGACTCATACAGTGATCCCATGATCTCGTTAGAATTCTAAAACAGGTCTTTTTAAAAAGCCTTTCTACTCACAACTAAAACCCGCTTAATGCTGTTTTTTAATGAATATATTCATATCCGAGCTTCCTAAACACTTCAAATGCAAACCAAACCCAGTGCTATCAATTAGACTTCTCAGAGACTGGCCATATTAGAAATGCCTATTAGCCGGCATTTATGGGATTGAGTCATGGACGGAGGTTTACTGCTTGTCAGGGCGACAGAATTAAAAAGGCAGATGGTTATAAAAGTTGTGAATCACAGTTGCTTTCTTTTACAATAATACTAGATGACTATTAAAATAGTAATGATTTTTTTTTTAAATTAGAAATTGGCTTTAAGAATAATTAATTGTTGTTACCAAATTATCATATCATTATTTATTGACTGTTTAAAAAATATATGTGCTGTCATTTTGTGCCAGCTGGCTGCTCGAGCTGCAGAGAGAGAACTCAAGGAAGCCAGGCATGAGGCTGGAGTGCTAAGACAAAAGTATGTGGTAAAAGATTCTCTCTCTTTACTGTTGATTATATAGAAGAGGTAAATCAGTCTTTTAATCTTTGTCCATAACATGCTGGCATGAAAGACAGTGAGATGGCCAATACACTTTCAGGCAGAATCACCCTAGGATGTTGACCCTCAGTAGACAAAAGTGACACACTTGATGCTATACAAGAGACAACACACATGCTGGAGACCTGAAACACGAGGATACGCATTGCTCTGTGACTCGGATGTGAAGTCTACATGCATCAGTCAGAATACATGTTGACATTAAAACTGCAGCCAATGATAATCAGGTTCCTTCAGATTTCTTGCACAATTTTGAAGCATATTTCTGATTTACTTTGTTGCTGTGTCACTGTTTTCTGGAGGTGTTGTTCTTGTTTGAATGGCGCTGTACTACAGAATCAGCTATTGGGTCTTGCTTGCACTTGTTAACAAGCATTCCTGCTGATTCCTTATCATTTTATAATTTATTTGCTGCTATTATATATTCAGCAAAGAAGATATGCAGCATAAAACATTTAACACTATACATTATCAATCACAGAGAAAGTGGAAGCACTTAAAATCTGGCAGTTTCACAAATCCTGCACTCTTCATGTCCAGAAATTGCTGAATTATTTTATTTCAATCTGTGAGCTTTCGATCGTTACTACAACTAGTGCAGAACAGGAGTAATCATAAGCACACTAAAGAAAATTCTTAGGCGAAGATGCACAGCACTTATGGGTATGCCTGATATGCACTGAAGATGATCCTGTAATGGAAAGTGAGTGAGTTCTCTTTTTGAGTGAACTCTATAACAGCTAGTCATGCACCTCTTACTTGATGGCTGTTTTGTCCAAATGTAGCATGTCTTTGCTTGTTTTCTTGCCATAGGCAGATTAAACTCAAGGCTGTTGCCAATATCTCATTATTGTCTTCCAATGTCTGTGGCTTAGTCGTTGAGAACATGCTCCATAATTCTAAGATATCGATTTTACAGCAAACTGCCTTGTGCTGGTATTGAACAGTGATATTGAGTCCAACTGTTTAGAAAGCATTGGCAAACCACTGAAGGTAAAATTTTCTAGTGAAATCACAGACAGGCACAAATGCTCAGATTGGTTCTGGGATGTCCTGACAAGGACACACAGCTAACTAACATCTTCCAGTTTTGTCATCAAGTGTTGTGGGAGGAATAGCTCGTGGTCCCACACTTGATGGAGTTCTCTGGTTATGTGAATGTGCAATGTCTTTAATGTCATCAGTTCAGCCTCTTCTTGGATACCCTCATGATGTCATATCTGCTCTTCACAACTGTAGCTTCAGTATTGGTAATTGATGTTGCTGTTCTAGCAAAATGACCAAAACCTTCGAACCTCTATTCCTCAATGTGTTTGATATACACTATTGTTCCCACAGTATCTGATAATATTGTTTCTCACTTGAATCTTCTATCTTATGCATGCAAGTTTTCTTTTATAGTGTCCAATGTTGGCACTGGTAGCATAGTATTAATATAAAAATGCTACTTATTGTAATCTGAAGCTTTAGCTGCTCATGGTTATGTTTGGTTTTACCAGGGTAGTTTTCTGCATTTTATATTTTCATCTTTAAAGTTAGCATGTGTGTTCCTATTAAGTTTCAATAGTTTGATTTATGTTTTGTCTGCCACATATGTAAATTCTCAGGTTAACAGATATAGAGAGAAGGCAGTTCATTGGTCCAGGTGGATTAATACGACCATTGCCCACCAGGCTGCCACCAACTGGTAAATTATTTTTGTTTTTGCTGATTGCTGTTTAGTAATGGATATTGCATGTTTTAAAAAAGAAAATACAAGAAATTTTTCACTGACTGTTGTTGTGCTGATAGTTTTGTCAGGATATTTTCTGAAGTAGCACTTAAAAGAACAAGACGGGAAGATGAAATTACAGAAAACTACAGAATCTCGATGTATCTTTTGTCGAAGCGGCCAGAAGAGCACACAGCAGGACTTATATCTCCCTAGATACCCAGAGTGGTAAAAGAAGACGAAAAGAAGAAGTAGCACTTAAAAAGTCTTTTGTCTTTTTAATAGAAATATATTTTTCTGAACAAATGTAAGTCACTTGGCAAAGCTTGTTTAGATCTTTAATTAATTTGGTAGAAAGGACAGCTGAATTAGTTATTACAAGTCAGTGATTTATGTGAGAAGCCAGATTCCCTTTTTCACTTTTTGTTTTGCTCTATTTGGGTACCATCTCCATAATGAAGTTTGACTACACTGCTGTCTTCTGAGATTTCATGTGGTGTGGCCTCAGTCTTGTACTACTGTTCACATACCACAGGCAAAATAGCTCCAACCCATGGCATAAATGTGTGAACATCTGCTGTTACTCCTCCTGATGACACCTGCAGCCTAAGAACCGTTAGGACAGGTTTTATTTGATCATGCACTGTTTTGTTTATGAGTAGTCAGTATAAGAATCTCTGTTACATTCTCATGTTTGTGGAGCATATATTTAGGAGATTTGGTTAGACCTTGGTTTTGAATCTCTTTCAGTCCCAGAACAGCAGTTGATTCAGGAAAGTAATTTCCACTATTAAAAAAAAAAAAAAAATGGGGAGTACACAAATGTCAAGAAGGCGACTGCGAGTGCCAGATTTGTTCGGTATTATGTAATTAAATGCGACAAGTAACAGAACATATTGCCTAATGTTTGAGTTTCATGGGAGTGAGCTTATCACACATCATGCGCTGCTTGGGACTAAAAGAGTTATGGTGGTGCAGTCTACAATGGGTATAATGAAATATACTTGAAAGTAAAGGTGGCCTGTGTTAAATTTACTGCACCACTCATTGTATCATTTAGTCTATATATATCTAGTGCCAGCACCATGTTGCCAGTATTTCTGAAGACTTTCTGTAACTTTTTGTTGTTGTTGAGAAACACTTACTATACTTATTGACTCTGATAAATGAAAGTCCAGAGGATCAAGTTCATTGCACTGTGTTTATCCCATTTATCTTAATCCCTCTCCCGGCCTTGATATGAACCCAAGACCTTCAGAGCATAAGGCAAATATATTTGTTGTCATGAAAACCAGCCTGTTCTTCTTTATATCCACATCTCAGTTTTACTTTCTGATTGCCTGTTCTTTATCCAGGTCCCTGAACTATACAGTAGGGTTGAGTATACATAACTTGTTTACAGTACACACTTTGGGTGTCTTCTCTAACTCTCTAGGTGTTCATAATTTTTGCATATTGTTGAAAATAGTTTTGGACATTTGTGTATCCTTTTTGATTTCTTTTTCACTTCCGACATTGTTCAAGATAGAAGACACTGGTTAATTTTCTAAGATTTCTGCATTTACTGTGATGTTCATTAGTGGCCTTCTTATCCTGTTCTAAATCTGTCAACTGACACTACAGTCTGTGTTTTTACTGCTTGTTAGAATGTGTAGATAGGGGTGGGGTGAGCCTGAGGATTTAGGGCTACATGGCTAGTACTGCCACCATGGACTGTGCAAAATAGAGTGTTTATTTTTAGCCCCCCCCCCCCCCCTTTTTTTTAAAAATCTATAACCTTTCTGGGCATCAAATGGGGGGGGGTTGGGGGGGGGGGGGGCTTTGTAACAGCTGGACCAGCCACTACTTCCTATCCTTTGCTAATTATTATTAAATATTTTTTAAATAAGATTTTCTAATGCAAATCTGAACTTGGGTTTAAATCTCATCATTACATTTATTGGAAAATGGAAAACCGAAGTCAGCCCAGCCTAAAATGTGTATCAGATAATGTCATGGGAAGTAAAAGTGGCAGGCATGATTTTGGCTGCATTGACTACTAAAAGCATATTGGTCTATACATATATGAGTCTAGCATCATATACCCGATATGTTTAGTGGCACTTGAGATTGGAGTCCTTTGTCTGTTTTGGAGAAATAAATTGTCAAGAGTTGTCATCTTTGTCTAACACATCTGCTGTTCCCCTGAAGGTATCTTGAATGGGCCGCCACCAGGAATGGAGCGATCACCATCCAGAGGTTCTTTGCCACCTATGCTGCCCATCCCTCCACCCCATTTGAGGTAATCCGAGTCTACATTTCTGTCTTAGTTTTGGAATCTTATTACACATCTTATGACTAAACATACATATATATGCATATATGTTAGTATAAAATAGTCTGCGTTGTATATTTGTATATTAAGTAAGCTGAAGCTAATCAAATCATGGAATATTTTTTTTAAACCTAAAATGTTAATGTAAACTGTATAATTCCCCCCCCCCCCCCACTCCTTCCTTCCTTCCTGTCTCTACCTCATCGTCCACCCTATTGTGTCTCTGTCTCCTCTATTTTTCCTATAGTCACCCCCCCCCCCCCCCCCCCACCCACATTTGCTGTCTCTTCTGGCTGTGTCTCTTTTATCTCACATTCTCTCTGTGTTTTGTTCTTATCAGTGCCTCAGGTGTTTGTGGCTTACTAGAGAAGCCACTGTAATCTGGTTATAGAAATGAATGTATTTTAGAAGTCATGGAGCACGTTCTTTGACATATCCATTCACACATTTTTTTCACATATCCCTTCACACATTCTTTGACATATTCATTCACACATTCTTCGACATATCCATTCACATATTCTTTGACATATAAATTCACACATTCTTTCACATATCCTATCACACATTCATTTACACATTCTTTGACATTTTAATTCACATTGTTATTCACACCTTGGTTCCCCATAGTTTTCTTTATGTTGAAAAAAAAAAAAATTTACTTTTTTCACACGACTGGCTTACTGAGTATGTGGCATTCTTTTTCTTCTTCTTTATTTCCTCTTTTACTGCTTTTTGGGCTGATACTGGGTTCTTCTTCTTGCTCTTCTGGCCACCTCGATTATACACACGTCCTGCTTTTGTAGAATTTCTCTAATAGTTTCTTTTCATTTTGTTCTTGGTCTGCAGTGTCTCTACCTCCTCTTTGATGTATGCCTTGCGTGATGTAGTATCACAAGCATTCTCTTTACGTGCGCAAACCATTTGATTTAATGTTTTTGTGTGTAATTTGTAATTGGTTCTGTGCCACGTTTTATATTTTTTTTTTTAGTTTTTGTGCATGACATTTTTTTTCTATAATAATCAGCACTGGAAGGTTTAAGTGGTCATCTTACTGGCTGCCTTTACATTACAGGACATTTACTGATGCCTGTGTTAGGCTGTGTCTGTTTGGGGACCCAGGTCAAATACCAAACTATCCCTCTAATGGATTCTACTTCTTCTCTACTTAGAATTCGCTGACTGTAAACTCCAGGAGAAAGTTCTGGTTGTTTATCCTCTTCTGGACTGTAGTCTTTGTCAAGAACTTTTCAAGAGTTTTGCCTGCACATCAGTTTTATAGATTCAGCATATTTTTTTTTTGCAAACTTTTATTCCTAGCTTCGCATGCAGATGCGGTTTGACTTTAAAAGAAGTTCTGCTAAATCCGAATTAATTGCCTTTTCCTTTAATGAATGGTTGTTATGGAGGCAGTTGGTCTATTCACCTGCCTTCCCCCCCCCCCCCCCCCCCCCACCAAGTCGGTCCCTCATCTTGAACCCACACTGGATAACAGATTCAAAACCAAGGCCATCATGCAGGCAATAAAGTGTCCAGCAACTATGCCTCTGTCTGTTGTTCACTACTCTGGGTTACTACTCCTGAGACTTCAAGAGTCTTATCCAGGATGGCAGACCAAAATACCATGTTTAACGTCTGTATAGGCCGCAGTATTTTAACCCAACATTGTTAATGAAAAATAGTGTGTGGCTTATATTTGAGATATTAGGCCTGCATGTCACCTGTGCACAATTTGTTAGTAAACAGTACAACAGTTCTTTTGCCGTACACCCTTTCTTTTGCACAATTACCAATATTCCAGGCAGTACTTCTTCTTAAGCATGGATTTACTTTTTAAAACGAGGTAAGGTAGGAGTTTTTGTCTTTCAGCAGTAATACCTACCATTTCTGCTCCAGAATGACGTTTGCATGTGCCCTGGTGTTTTTTCACCTGGCATATGGAAGAATACGGGACTTTCATGTACACTTTCAACCGATTACATAACCACATGTACACAAAATTCAAGATAGGTGTATCAGCCATGTGCACCTGTGGAAATGTGGCCCAGACAGCAGAGCATGTACTTCAGGACTGCAACGATTTTGACACATTAAGGCAAACATTTTGGCCAGAAAGAACAACAATGGAACGTAAACTCTATGGACCATTGAATGAACTAACAACAACAGTGAAATTTATACAAGAGACAAAACTGCTGATATAGACAACTTATTTCAGGTGAACGAAAGAAGAAGAAGAAGAAAAATGTACACTTTCAGTTGCCACTATGCTGTAATTATATGTCTTCTGTAACTTTCGAACATGTCTTTGAACTGAAAACAGTGTCTCCTGGTAGGTTTCCTAGAGTCGCTGCACCATTGGTGTCTGTTGCTGAATCAGGAGGTCATTTTGTGCCATAAAGCGCCTTGCCCAGGCATAACTAGCTTTGAATTCACTCTGAGGCATTGCTATCTGTCACTACTTACAGACACTACTATTTTGATTTTAGTCTCTCAATAAAATTCTAAGAAAATAATTTTTTTTCCTAAAATGTTTATCTCATAAACTGGGTGTGGCCTATACATGTGTAAATATGGTACCTCACCTAGCCTATGAAGAGGTAATCACTGGGGCAGTTGATTCCAGTGTGGGCAAGGAGTGACTTTGACCTTAAAATTGACCTTGGCTCCCAGGTCAACCTTGCTGAAAATAGGTACCATTTGTCCTGGGAAGTAAAGGTGGCTGGTGTGATACTGAACACATCAATCATTGAGTGCCAATGTGGCTATAAAAATATGGGTCCAGCAGTATTTGCTGTGTATACTAAATATATGAATAGAGTCCTTTTGTAAATATGACGACTGTTTCTGCTGTTCCCAGCGAAAGGGATGATGGTGTACTGTATCTGCATAAATATTATTAACATTTAACCTCTGACCATTTTAATATAATGACATGTTACTTCTGATTCATTCAGGGATGAAGACTTCATAGCCACTCGTGGAGATCGAGGACCACCACTATTTCCATTGGATATGCGCCGCGGCCCATTGCCACCTCCAGGGATGAGACCTCCTCTAGATGCTCGTTCACCTCCACCCCGTTTGCCTCCCTTTGGTAGTGCCCATTCTCCTCCCCTGCGTATGCCTCCTCCAGGAATGATGGATGGAAGGTCACCTCCTCCATATGATCGCCGACTTCCACCACATCATATGTCAGACAGACGCAGTCCACCATTCCGCCTCCCTCCCCCTGATATGTTTCCACCACCACCACCATTAATGAGAGGTGGACCTCTTCCACATCACTACCTTAGTCGTGGAGGTGCTGGATCACCACCTTTGGGACCTGACTCTCCTCATTTAGGTAGTATGTTTGAAAAGTGTCTTATCACGTCAGTTGTAATGGAATAATTTAATTTAATAGTTTCTTTTCATATCTTAATCATAATTAAGCATCTTAATTTGAAGCTTTTCTTCATTTAACCTACGAAGAGCTCACAGCCACTACATAAAACCAATACAGAACACGAGTCTTCAGCGTAACTACAATAACAAAGATTAGGCGAAGACTGGAGCACTTATGGGTATGTGTGGTGGGGGATTTCTTTTGTTTTAGCGAATGTACTATGTGCAGTCTACAGAAGATAATAGAACGTAATTCTTCATCTGTTCTCTACAAGACAGATAATGACAGACATAGAAAATACTGTTGTTCTGAGGTAGGCTTCAATACTACTGCCTAATAGGCTAGTTAAGATTCCAAGTAAGAAGACGCATTAACACGTGTTGTGGTTTACAGCTAGGCTGCAATGTATGACCTAAACTCTTCAGTCGTCGATAGTATAGTTGTAAGTATGTCATCCTTCATGGGGATGACCGGTGTTCAATTTCCCGCTAGGTGATAATTTTTCTTTTTCCCTTAAACGGGTGGTTGCCACATTGTGTTGTGGTTTACAGCTAGGCTGCAATATCTGCGCCTGTTGCTCAAAGACATCCAATTTCAGTTAAGTCCTACTTAGCCTCCCCGCGCCGCTTCTCAATCAAAAACTGTTCGGCGATGACAGAAACTGTTAGCTAAGACGACTTACAGTCCAGTTTAATTTGGGTGGACACAGATGCCAAAGTCAGTTAAAAATTTGTCCCTCTTAACTATTTCTATTTTAATAATTTTGCCAGGTGATGATTTTTCAATCCTTCGGAGATGAAGATATAATTAATTAGTGGAAAGGGGGGGGGGGGGTTATGCCAGACACAGTTAGCTGAGAGACCTTAAAATATTATTTTAAAGTTCTCATTTCTTAACTATTTCTATTTTAATAATTTCGCCATGGAGGATTTTTTAATTCTTCGGAGAGTGAGATATGACTGCGTCGAGGGGGGTTTTGGGGGGAGGGGGGGGGGGGGTATGACAGACACTGTTAGCTGAGAGATATATTTTCTTTCCTCTCCATTTCACCCTTCTGGGCCACAGCAATGTGTGGCCGGTTACAGCTATATAAGGAAGAAAAAAAAAAAGAAATAAACTAAAATGAAATACAGATGGTCTATTGTGATCCATTGTTGTCAAATTACCAAAAGTTCTTGACATTCAGTTGTAACTACAAATCGACAATTTACTCTTTCTGCCTACCTAAGAAAGAATTACACATTGTTATCAATAAAGCTTTGGCCAGTCTCAAAATTTGCTTATTGGGTGTTTGGTAAATCACATGAAAAGAACTGTTTTTGTCAATTACATATCTGAATTCAAGCAAATGACGTCGCAGTTTTGAAATCCATGTGGGCTCACTGAGCTTTGCATGGAGCTATTTGGGTACATGTTCTGCCACTCTGTGTTTTAAGCACACACCTAACAGGTGAATTTTGAGACTGGCCAAAGCTGTCTTTATAAAAATATGTAATCCTTTCTCACATAGGTAAAAAAGAGTTATTTGTCGATTTGAAGTTACCCTTATAAGTCACGTAACTTTTGTGAAGTTCCGGCGATTTGACAACCTTTGATCAGGAAAGACCATTTGTATTTCAGCTGAGTTAATTCATTTTTTTTTATGCTTCATGATATATTGACATAACTGCAGTAACACACCTGATGAGATGCAGCGGAATATGCCCAGCATTAAATTGTGCAATCTATTGTTTCTCTCCAAAATATTTAAATTATATAAATTAGATCAGCAAATGTATTATATTTTGACATACATATTCATAGAAGAAAATAAAAGGGGTTAGTTAGGAGAACAAATTTACAAAGGTTTCTCCAATGTGTGGGCAGCATATTTTTCTACAGTCCAGCAGATATCAATTTAAAGGAATAAGCTGCAGTAGATCAAAATAGAATACGTCACCCTTGTTAGGTTTCTGACACACAATGACTACAGATCTAAGCACCATCTAGAATAAGATCAGTTGGGTTGGCATATATAATTTTTTTTTTTATACATCTTGTCACCACAATTGTGTGTGATTGAAAAACCCAATAGAAGTGGCTAAAGGAGAGCTACTCTGTTGTTCACCCAACTTCTCTTTCATCCTTTTAAATTTAGAAATTTATACAAATTCTACTTTGAAAAAGTAATTAATTGGTAAGAAGCTTTAGTCCAGGCCAGCTTGCCACTGTGTGCCTAAAGTGCCGTAAAGATAATCTTGAAATGGACTAATTCTATAAGTAACAGAACTGATGCTTTATGTTTCAGTAAGGTCTTTCTGAGGGATGTAAGAGTATGGAATAGATAATATACAAAAAGTGCCTAGTGTAGAATTAAGTGTTACAGAGTTTTCCAACAGTTGTTTTTTTCCCCTCACTGTGCTCCATTTGTTCTAGTATTTCGATATCTTTGCATAAGTACAGTTTTTACATCTTTCTCCAGATGGACGGTACCCATTACCATCTTATGGGAGGAACCCACCACATCCTCAGACAGACCGTCACCGAAACAGAGCAAGCAGATGTCCCCACAACAAAGCCAAGTCTAATGAGGAGGTTAAGATATCTTGTAGCCTGTACAGATGTGCTTTAAAAACAAATTATGACTTTTAGTCGCCACATTCTGTGGAACTTGTTCCCCATCTTTGTGCTGTGACCTGTAGTTGGGTGTGAGTATTTTATTGAAGTCAGTTATAAAGAATGGCGTGTAGCTTATGTGAGGAAGAAAACTAAATTTAGTTATTTCAGAATCTGCCTTGTAGTCTATATTAGGATGAAAGTACCTTGTGGACACTAAGAAAGAAAGCTGTATTTAGTATGTTCAGATTCAGCACTGTGGCCAATATAAGAAAGAAAGAAAGCTGTATTTAGATAATTCAAACTGGATTGTGTATATGTAAGGTAAGTGTTGTTTACATCATTTGGACTACTTTGTAGCAGATAATGTACATTTATTCTATTTCAGAGAGTCTGTATATTTTGTGGTTTTAAACTTAAAAAAAAATAAATTATTAAGGTAATAAATTGTACAGTTTATTCTCATTGTGTCATTGAAATGGTATGGATAGTTAGTAACTTGTATCATTCATACATGTATAGGAGTTTTCTGGACCATTCTTTCTGTTTTTTCCTGGTAAAGATTTAATTTTCTATTGATTGGTGTATTATTTACATGTTTAAAATGATCTCAGAGAAGTTTTGCTGCATCAGTAATGGCTTTAGTTTGTAACATTGTTGACTGTGGAGGGCTTTTTAAGTCACATGTAGTAATATGCAAAATCTTTTTTTTCCTATCAGATGGATTGGTTGAATACTAAAATATTAACACCTTCAGTTCCAAACAACTTTCACTTTCGCTGATTGCTTTTAGTATAGAGCATGGAGAGGGTGGTAGTGGTGGGGAAGGGGGGGGGGGGATATAATAATGTGAAACAATCATACAATAGTTTTTTGTAGAACATCCCCCCCCCCCCCTTTTTTTTTTTTTAACCATTTTCCCCAATGTAAAGATGAGCTTATTTTTTTAGCCTGAAATTAAGAAATACATATTTTATTTTTATTCCAACAGAACAATTTTAATGTTTCATGAAATATTAACAACATATATATATATTTCATACTGTATACTCAAACATAATAAATTTAAAAAAAAACTTTACTGATCTGTTTAGCATTGTAATTACAGTAGTTAATGTTTAAAAAGTTGTTGGTGGCTAGTCTGCATTATTGTAATGTGCAGTATAAGAGCAGCTATAGGGCCAGCAAGGATTATATTATCACATTCGCCTACAAGGAGGCGTAGAGTCACTGAAAGGCAAAATCAAAGCAGTGGAACTTTCACAGAGTTTCTAAGGGACAGCATTACAGTAGTTAGTGAATAAGCATATTTAAAACAAAAAAAGACTTGCAAACGTACACAAACGATATTTACCATATGTACTTTATTTACTCCATGAGTGCTGGCAGACGTGAACACTAATCGAGGAGCTGCAACACAGTGTTGGAAGTGGGGGCTGATGGGTGGAGGCAGGGGGAAGAAGAGGACAGCCCAAACGACAGCTTGGAGACAGCTTTAAATACCCCAGAAGGGATGTTTTTTAATAGCAGTTTGTTTTATCAGAAATAAGGTTACTACAAAATAGTATCTTTCTCTTTGAGATCATTTGAGGAGAATTATGACTGTTTTCTGCTTACATTAATAATATCACTAGGATTAATAATACCATGTTTATTTATCATTCATGTTTCAAATCATGTTGGTTTAAAATGCCTCCTATTTGGTGCTGACTACCCAGAGACCCAATGCTAGTCAGTGTCAATAAACTTATTCTTATTACATCATGTGTTTTTGTTTACAACATATTTTCTCCTATTTAATTACATTTAGAGATCATTCGGTCTAGAACAGCACCTCTCAAACTGCCGGTGGCTACCCTTTTTGTGTGGGTCAAATGCCCCTTTCACAGGAGTGGCCTAAGACCATAGGAAAACACATATTCATTGAAGTTTTAAAGGAAATTTTTGTTTGGGAGTTGCTTCAACAAGAGGGAACTGTATTAAAGTGTCGCAGCATTAGGAAGGATGAGAGCCACTGATCTAGAACAATATGTTGTGTGTTTTGTAATTATATCTATCCTTTAAATTCCTCGTCATATAAAACTTTCTATTAAATGGTTGAATGTGGCACTGCAATTTCAGTCACAGGCCTGAGGGAAAGTCAAGTCCAATGTGATGTGTATAAAGAGATACTCAGTACCTCACATCAGGCACCAGCCTCCTCTCTGCTGGTTTTACAGAACTTCATGTAAGGCTGCTGCTGCATGTCCCTGTCGTGCGCCACATATAATTTCTTTTTCTTCTTGTGTTTGCTTGAAATAGATTAACTATTTCTGCAATATTGTCTCTTGTATGAACTTGAGGATAATGAACTCAAATGAGCATTAACAGAGCTGGCAGGAGATGAGGGAACATCCCCCCCCCCCCCCCCCCCCCCCCCCCCCCCCACCCCCCCCCCCCCCCCCCCCCCCCACAACACACACAATGTAGGTCCAGTCATGACTTTTGTCACCCCCCCCCTTTTTCATTGGGGAAAACGTCTATCAAAACTCATTTAAACACGAGTAAAGTCCGTTTACCGAATTGGTTAAAAGTCTGTAGAGTCAAAAAACAAATGAACTGCTGAGACTCAGTCCTAGAGCAAGGAATTTGCCCGCAGCTTAGACGAGCATCTCCTGTGGGCGGTAAAATCCCATCTCCGTACATCTTTTGACCCTTAACGTCGTCGTCACCGCGTTGAGGTACACTACGACAGCCACCGTCAGTCTGCTGGCTAGGCTCAAATGTCCAACAAATACACGTTCTTTGGCAAACAAGTCAAGTCAGTGTCCTACTGTCATACAAGAAAAACTCAAATGTCCGTATCCATTTGCCCCACTGGCCCGAGTATTAGGACCGAGCAGGTGAAGACCTGCCTGATGCATACTTCTCCATACAACATTTAATTTTAGTACCTAATGGAAGCTGCTGCTGCTTCTCCGACGAGCCCGTCTGTCGGCTTCCTGGGATGTGCTCTGCAGTGTCTCCGATATTGATGCCGTATAACCTGTACGCGGTCGACCTCCGGGTGTGTTTACCGCTGTATCTGCCTCAAACTGCTCGCTGCTGGGCCCTGTCCTGTTAATGTGCATTTCTGGCGGGACCGTGCCTCCTCCGCCCTCGGACAGAGGTGTCCGCGTTTCACTGGCCCTGACAAAGAGCGGCGGTACCTCACGGCACGGACCTTGGCCAGTCGCAGAGTCGCTCACCTAGGCCCTCCGTCCACGGAGTGCGGTACAATCGCAGTCTTCAGGTGAATAGGTGACCCCCCCCCCCCCCCGACTGGGAGGCGCTGGGGGAACGGGGGCCAACACACGGGAGGGGAGGGACGGGGGGAACGCGTGGGTGTGAGTGCGTGCGTGCGTGCTTCCCCTCCTGGTTGGGTAGTCAGTCTGCGTCAGTCTGCAGGCTGACTACCACCCGAACCGCCAGTTTGTCTTAAGGATATGGAAACCCCGCGAATGTCCTAGAGATGCGGTAAAGCGACAGTCGCACAGCAACCGTTATGTATTGCCCTGGTGAAGGCCAGGCTTTTTCTTCGTCTTCTTTCTCATCTGCTGCTGCTGCTGCTCCTCCGACGAGCCCGTCTGTCGGCTTCCTGGGATGTGCTCTGCAGTGTCTCCGATATTGATGCCGTCCAACTCTTCTGGAGCAGGACTGCAGTTCAGTAGTGGACAACAACCAGAACTTTCCGCCAGAGTGTACAGCTGGTGAACGTGAAGAAGAAGAAGAATACTGAGATAGGGGAACATCAGATATAGGATGCAGCGAATACTTGAGATCTGGGAACACAGGATATAGAAGGCAGCTTGGGCATGAGAATACTTCAGATAGGGGACATCAGATATTGAAGACAGCTTGGGCAGGAGAATACTTCAGATAGGGGACATTAGATATTGAAGACAGCTTGGGCAGGAGAATACTTCAGATAGGGGACATTAGATATTGAAGACAGCTTGGGCAGGAGAATACTTCAGATAGGGGACATTAGATATTGAAGACAGCTTGGGCAGGAGAATACTTCAGATAGGGGACATTAGATATTGAAGACAGCTTGGGCAGGAGAATACATGAAATAGTGGAACACCAGATAATGGAGGTAGCTTTGGTATGAGAAAACTTGAGATAGGGATACAACTCATATTGTAAGCAGCGGATAATAGAATAAGTTCGGGCATGAGAATACTTGAGATAGAGGAACTCCAGATATTGTGAGCAGCTTGAGCATGAGAATACTTGAGATAGAGGAACTCCAGATATTGTAAGCAGCTTGAGCATGAGAATACTTGAGATAGAGGAACACCAGATATTGTAAGCAGCTTGGGCATGAGAATACTTGAGATAGAGGAACACCAGATATTGTAAGCAGCTTGGGCATGAGAATACTTGAGTTGGATATTGGAGGCAGCTTGCTCAAAAGAATAATCAGAAAGGGAAACAATATATATTTGAGGCAGCTTGGGCGTGCGAATACTTGAGATCAGGTAACACCTTATATTGGAGGTAGCGTGGATATGCAAATATTTGAGACAGGGGAACACAAGATATTGGAGGTAGCTTGGGCATTCGTCGAAAGACCATCTGTGCTCGTGAAAGTCGATACTCTATCAATGGTCTTAGCCTTCTTTCAATGATCCTAGAATACATTTCCCCAGTGTGACTGAGAAGCCAATATTTTTATGTTATTAGTACAGTCCCTCTTACATTCTTCATTTTTCCATAGCAGGACGATGACAGCAGTTTGTCAATTCTGAAGGTGTTTCTTGATTTTCCCTTGCCACCTGAAATATTTTCTTTAACCATATTGCACCCGATTCTCCTGCTGCCTTGATGGCCTCAGCTGCTAGATCATGAATACCTGTTGTCTTTAAGATTATCACAAGTTCAAATGCAATGTAAACCCCCCCCCCCCCCCCCCCCCCCCCCCCCATGCCATGTCTCCAGTGACACGTAGTGCTGGGGTGATTAAAAGAAGTGAGAAACACCTGTACTAGGTGACTTTCAGCATATTGTTTATC